ATATATATATATATATATATATATATATATATATATGTAAATATGTAAATATATATATATAGTAGTCCCTCGCTACTTCACAGTTCGTTTATCGCGGACTCGCTTTATCGCAGTTTTTCAAAATAAGATTGGACATGATACACAATTGGTTGATTGATGGATGAGCCGCACGATCGGCATGAAATTATTATTTTTTCAATAAATTATTTTAAATTATTTAGCATCTGCTGCACATTTGCACCCTTCAAAAGACTGATGTATTATGGCAAAGGTCACAAATCAAGGTTTGTATGGACCATAACTTCTGATCTGCTCAAGTTATTTAAAAAAAACAACAAAAAAAAACTATACATTTGTACCACCACTAGACGGTGTCACCTAACCTTTTCATCTTCCCAGCTTCCACATCAAGGTCACAAATCAAGGTCATCTGTTACAAAAAGGTCATTGTTGTATTGCTGTAGGATAGTTTGTGGTTGGGCATATAACAGGCTTTATGCTGTTCTCTTTTGTTTTCCTCTCTTGTTCCTGCAGAGCTGACGCTGCCTCAGTTTTACAACTTCCTACATGAGCTGGAGAGAGCCAAAACCAGTATGGAGTGTTTCAGCTGATTGTGTGGATTTCTGTGTATTTAAAATACACATTTATATGTATTAATTTGTACAGATAATTTTGTGTTAATGTAAACTTCATTTTCCACATATGAATCTAAACACAAAATCACATTTTACTTTTGGACACTTGTACTTACTCTTCCAATAAAAACTGTTTAAAAGCTAACACTTAGTGTTTGTGGTGTTTTCACTTTAGTGATCTGCTCATGAACCTGCAGTCCTCTTGTTGAATATCACAAACGCTACTGATCTGGTATCGTATGTACCACCCAGTACACAACGAGTTGTGTTATGTGTTGCTGTAGTTTGTTGTATTGTCATCAACAAAAATGGAAGAACTTTAACATTTTAGCAGACAGATGTATTTAGGCCCATGTCGGAAAACATCACATAACAGAATCAATTTACATCTCTGAGTGATGAAAACTTTAAAATTCTGATTTAAAAAATTTGGCTGGGACAAAAAAAAAGATAAAACAAACAAAAAAAAACAACACTTTTGGGCGAACATGGACAAGATTGAAGCTTAGAAGAGAAGCTCCCGAAACAGTGTACCTTACCAACTCTCTTTAAAAACCCTCATAAACTGTCAATATTTACAAAATTACAAACCGTGCTGATCATGTCAGTCTTCTAACTAAAGCCCCAACCGATATGGAAATTTTGGTTATAGCCGATACTGATATTGGGAGGGAGGATACCGATAACCACTAAATGGCTGACATTTTTTGAGCTTTGTCCACCCCCAAGAACCTAAATAAGCAGCAAATGGTGCTCTGGGCTATGCTATGACTTTCCCTTAAAAATTCTATGTTTTCACCGCCTATATGTAAATGTATAACGTCTGTTTATGTTGCTTTGCTGTGGTAGGTTTTTTTGATGTCTCAAATCGTGCCCTGTCTAGGACACGGCGTGAGAGATTTTTTTTTTTTATACCGTCTCTTCTCATGTTTTCTTCCTTTTTCTCATCTAAGCAAAATATTATTCTGAATAAGAATAAGAAGGCCGTGCTATTTATAACTACAGCTTCGTGCACTCCGCCCATCTTTCGGACGACTGTACGTACATATTTGCGTTGTATCTCGGTGCAATGCCAATAAAGTTTATTCTGATTCTGAAGATGACAAAGATAAAGTTACCAACTCTGATATATTTTACCTCTACATTGATTTATTGTTCTGAATAAAGTTTTACATGGCAATAGCCTAAGCTATGGTTATCTAAACTTTAGCTTGATAACTTGAGAGGCACATAGTGGGTTGGAGGATTCAAGAGAATTAGATTTTCTGATTTTTTTTTTTTTTTTTTTTACAGATCAGTTAAAATAAACTTACCATGTTCTGTTCAGCAACATGTGCTACACAGTATTGCTCCCTGCTTTGGCTGTGCTGAAAGTGAAACTTAAGTAGTCCACGTGTCCTCTGCTGGATACATTGTACAATTACGGCTGGTTCCCAGCATTTTAGGTGTGAAAATTATAGGTATTGATATTGGCACAAACGCCTATCGGCCTAAAATTTCAGCCCCTATGGATATAAGGATTCAAGGTTCTTTATTTGTCATACACAACACATGTGGTACATGTGGTGGAACAAAATTGCGTACACCGGGTCCCAGTTACATCCAACAAAAATATAAAATGTAAAAGAAACAGTAGTAAGATCTAAGATATGAACTAAGAAAAATGTGAAACTAAAAATACACTAAACTAAAAATACACTAAGCATTAGTAGTATAAAAACAATATGCCAAACAGCAGCATGAACATGAGTCTGTGTGAGCAGATGAGTACGAATGAACACGGCAGCATCAATCAGGTATAGTAATGATGGTACCGATGGTATGTCAGAAGGCCTCCTTTAGCAACTGTGAGACTAGCTGTGGACGCCGACAAGAGATCATCCTCCGGGACACCAACATTACGCCGGGATGCCGGGACTCCCAAGTTATCACATATATCCTCTAACTTAATCACCACAGCTTTAGTTAGGTAGTCCATTTTTCTCTGAAGGATGACGACGTCATCAGTACTGGTGGATAGGGACTTCTCCATCTCAGCAAGTTACTCTGAACCCAGTGAAACTCTCCTGCACCGCAGACAGACCAGAGGACAATTCCTTTTTGAAGGAGAGCAGCTTGGATTTAATGGAGGAAAGACTCAAAGACAGCATGAGACTCACATTTTAAGTGTAGCAGCAAAGTCCTCCCAGAGATCTGAAATGAGCTGTTTTGAGAGCGACTTCGCTAATTGTGGCGGCATGGGTGGCAGCCCCCGCCACCAGAGAAGAGGTTCCAGCACAGGTCGAGGGTTCACCACAAGAAGCAGGCTTCAGGTGAGGCTGGATCTAATTTCTAGTCAACTTTGGTAGCATTTTAGTGACCAGAACAAAATATACTGTTAAATGGATTTAGATATCACTTGAGGTCAAACAAGTGCCCAATAATAATTTTAAAAAAGAGCCAACTCTGAAGGAGCTCACCATAACACAACAAGTATATTTTTGTCTCATTTGTTTAACTGGGTTCTCTTTATCTACTTTTAGGACTTGTGTGAAAATCTGAAGGTGTTTTAGTCCTTATTTATGCAGAAATATAGAAAATTATAGAAACGTCCAAATTCAAGCACCACTGTATCCTTACAGTTCTGTCTGGTCATTTTTAATAACTTTTTGAGTTTATACTGACTACACTCAGAGTAAATTTCACTCTGGTAGAAGTTTATCAGAAAATGTTTGTAACCAAATTTAAAAAAAAAAAAAATCTCATCTTTTATTTTTCCTCCATCTTGCAGCGCAACAGAATGTAACAATATGCTGATAACGGTATAGCTTCAATGCAAACATCACTTGATAAAATTACTCCTGTAAAAAGAAAGTAATCAGTCAGAAGAAGCTTAGTTCATTTCACTTGCTTACTTTAAAACAGACATCTAGAAAGTTGGAAGTCTGTACAGCGCCCTGAGATGGTGTTGGTTGTGAATTGGCATCACAAATAAACTTAAAATTGAACTGAAAGAAATGGTGCTCCATTAACATTAAATAATTTTATTTAACCTGGAGAAATATGCTGCTAACATACAAGAAAGCCCTTAATAAAGCTAGAACTGTATCATTGGATATACTCATAACTGATCAACCTTTGGAGTCAGGATGAGACAACTAACTTTAGAAAACAAAAATGGCTATGACTCAAGTTTTGAAGAAAGTATTGACCTAAGAATTGGTATGGTAGTTGCCAAGATTAATTCCTAAAACATTCTGAACACTTTGTTTAAAGTTTTACCATCATGTTTTACCAGTATGCTGGGTCAATATATCAAAACCACTGGATGGATTTTAACTCAACATTTTTAGGAAATAATCATTGGATGTACTTTCACAACAGTTTCATTTTTAGAGCAAACCTTATTCAAGATGGCTGCCATAGCCAACTGATCTTGGAAAAAAAATCTGTCAATTTTATAGATCAACCTAAAATACAAAAAAATATATAACTTGGTCAACCAAGGACTACGGTAATAAAGTAGCTGAGAGTCCTTCCCAACAATGTGAAATGCTGTTGCCAGTTTTAATGAGTTTGTGAGATCATATCTCTCCAGTTTTATCTTCTCTCCATCGACTCTGTTAAATTCAGAATAGAATTCCACCTACAAAGCTTTCAACAACCTAGTTCTATCTTCTATTACAGATCTTGTTTTTTCTATACTTTCCTAACAGAGCACTTCACACCCAAGACTGCAGGTTTACTTGTGGTTTCTAGAGTTTCCAAATGCAGGATGGGAGGAAGATCTTTCAGTTACCAGGCTCCTCTCTTGTGGAACCAACTTCCAGTTTCTGTCCATGAGACTGATACCTTGTCTACTTTTAAGACAAAGCTTAAGTCTTTGCTTTTTGATAAATCCTAGTTAGGGTCAGCTTGGGTTTCCTGAGCTATCCCTTAGTTATTCTGCTATAAGCTTAGACGGCTGGAGGACAAATCAACCATGTTTCCTCACTGCTGTGGTCCTTTCTTGGTCTACTCTACGTGTTTGCATTTGTAATCATTTCTATCCTTGCGTTTTTTGTTTTTCCTCCAATAGAATGTACAGCCTGGACATGTCATTCTAGTTTTGTGTTTCTCCTTCCCGTCCTCAAACCCCAGCCGGTCGAAGCAGATGGCTACTCGTCCTGAGCCTGGTTCTGGTGGAGGTTTCTTCCGGTTAATAGGGAGTTTTTCCTTTCCACTGTTGCCTTTGTGCTTGCTCAGGATGAGAGCCTGTGACTTAACACTGGCTCCCTTACATAGATAGCTTCTACTAATTGGCTTTTTTGATAATTATAATTGGCTTTTATAATGTTATGTGTAATGTGAATGCTTTTGTACAGTGCCTTGAGATCACGTCTGTTGTAACTTGATGTATTAATAAACTGAACTGAAGTCTCACAACATTGCAGGAGATTGCACTGGTTCTTTTCAAGGCTCGACCAAGAGCGACCAACTTCTCAAAAATAAAATTATTTCAGTTTAAAAACTCTGGCATGAAATGTGGCAGGCGATGTGCATCTTTATAAATCCAGTTGAAGAGAACCAGACCATGAATGAAAACAGTAAATTAGGTCGTTCACTCCTTTTAATGAATAAAAAAATACTTCTTTGAGCAAAGAGACTATCAGATCCTGTCTGCAGAGCAAACTGAGAACCAAAACAATAGTGACCTCCAGATGATGAAAAGTGGAGCAACACAAGATGAGGTAAATAGCACAATTTACAAATAATCATGCTCCAAATTCACAATAACAATAATTATCAGTACAGCTAGAAAAAAATTGCAACAAGAAAAGATAACAGACTTATGATACAAGGCATACATTGCCCACAAGAATTGTTCTGTTCTCTATGGTCATTATCCTTCTGTACACTAAAGCTGCCCAATCATGCTGCTGGTCCATCACCGGCAGCAGTTCTACAGTGTACAGGGTCAAAGACACACTATCTGACCACCAGGCACGAAACGCAGAGTTTAGAGGGTCCGATGCAATCGTCATGGCAAAAGGCACCACAGCCTTGGCACATGATCATGGCTTTGAGACGACACGAGCACTTGAGTGCCACCTCCTCAGCCGCTGTATCTGCAAAGGCCTGGATGCTGAGGGTGGTGTGGCTGGACGCCAGGCGGGGGCACAGCTGAAGGACACCGTCAGCCATTCCCCTGGAAAAACCACCATTGTCCATCATTGATACATTAGCTGTGTAGCTAACGCTTTGTTTGGGGAGCTTCCCATAGAGCTGAAAGGGAAGGGAGGAAGAAGAAGGTGAAGAGGAGGAGGAAGGCGAGGTGGCTGAACATGGAGGTTTGCTGTGCTCCTTCTTGGCTATCCTCGCCAAAGTCATTTCCATGTTGAGGAGGCCCTCCATCGCTCCTCCACTCAGGTATCCATCAATGGAGTTCCCAGGTTCTTTTTTAGTTCCATTGATGGGCATGATGGGGCCGGATTTTGTAAGAGCCTGGCAGGAAGATCTTGCACCACCTTCATTCTTTACAGTGGGTGTAGGAGACAGCTGCTGTTGGTGAAAATGAGGGGGCTGACACTGCAGGGATCTCATGTTTATCTTAATTGTTGCTATGTTCTCAGTGGGGTGGGGTTCTGTGTGGGAAGGTGAGGGGGTACTGGGTAAGATCTGATAGACTGGTCGATCTGGAGTGGCTCTCTGCGAAGGCTGATGTAACTCTTTAAAAGCTGCAGGTTCTATAGAAGCCAGAGAAGCAACGTCTGACTGACCCTTGGATGACATTGGCACCGAGGTAATGACTGGAACAGCACCAGAAGTCTTGTGAGGCAAGTACAGAGACCCTTCTGTGGCCTCAGTGAGGCAGGAGACTGGGTGACCCATTGGTGACTTGTTAGAATGAGTCAAATCTGTGCTAGAAGATGAGTCGGAGAACTCTGGCTTACTGCGAGTTCCCTGGTTCCTTGTTGCTGAAGATCTGGATTGGGATACTGGTAGTCGGCTAATCTCCAGCCTGTTGGCAGAGTGTGAGGGTAGAACCTTCTCCAAAGGCAGACTGCCTTGTAGCAGCTGAGTGACCAGGGGGTTGTTGGCCTCCACAGTGGACACTGGTCTGGCTAAGGGGGTCAGTTTTTTAGAAACAGACGCAACATGTGGGTGTGTGACAGTAGAACTAAAAACTCCATGACACTCGTCTTCAGCTGAAATAGATCTGGAGTTTTGACTGTCTTGTGTAATCTCAATTTTGACCACAACATTGTTCTCTCTTAGTCCTTGAGGATGGGTAGTGGGAAGAGGGTGGTGGTCAGGGGAAAAATGATTACGATGCTGTGACTGAGGCAGACTGTTGGGATAACAAGGATGAATGACTGTCTGACCTTGACGGCTAGACACATGGGCCTGAATGACCGGATGCTGGTTCTGAGGAGGAGGGCTGCAGATAACCAACGGTCCATTTTGCTGGGCTGTGAGAGGTGAGCACCAGTGCGAGTCAGAGGACAGTTGCTGCTCGTCCTCCTGGCTCTCGTTCTCACAGTCCGAGGCAGTTTCTGTGGAGTCGCTGTGTGTGTCAACCTCATCGTATTTCTCTTTACAAATGTTAATTACCTCCACACGTCTGGGAGAGGAAACATCTGTTGGCCGGTCTACGTGGTGAGATCCATGCTGGATAACACTACCCAGTCCAACTTCTTTTCCTTTTTCGTGTTCTTTGGTCTGACAAGAACCACCCAGTGTCTGAATGACATCCACACCCTGAGCTCCAAATCTGGGAAGGGAATCTGGGATTGAAGTCTGGGTCAGCGTAGGTTTTTCTAAATCTTGGTTCACCATTTTTGAGGAGGAATTAGTAGACTTCGGCAGCTGGGTTTCCTGGTCTGACTTGGTGACTGATGTCTCAGAAGTGACGTCAGGCTCTGGGGAGAACGCACAAGTCTTTTCTATGAACCTACTGGAGGAAATCTGGACAGTGGCTGATGTTTCTTCCACATCTCTGCCAGCCTTGGACACTGTGGCAGACTGGTCTTGTAGAGGACTTAAGGTTTGTGGAGACTCTAAGGACGTGGAAGTGGATGTATTGGACAGTGAAGGGGAAGGGTGGGAGGTGGGTTCTACATTGAGAAGCTGTAGTTGTGTTCTCGACGAATTAGGTTCAGAAGATGATTCCTGCTCCTCCAACTCATTAAATCCTCTTCCATCTCCTCCTCCTCCTCCTCCTCCTCCTCCTCCTCCTCCGGGCTCGATAGGTCCTGGATGCTCTCGCGTTCGCCGTCCATTGCTGCTATCCGGTAACCCAGTAGCAGGCCGCAGCCGGACACCGGCCGTCCCTGCCCCCTCGCCAGAGGCTGCAACAGCAGCAGCGGCTTCGCGCTGTGCGCGGGCTTGCTGGGCACGGGCTTTGATGTCTGCCAGGGTCCGCGCGCCCCCCGTCCCCGACCTCCACGAGCCCTCGCCAGGGGGCACGATCCGAGGGCAGATTTGGTAGGTGGAGTGCCCTTTGACCCAGGGTGGTTTGATTCTTGATAGTTGAATCTGGAACAGAAACAAAAGAGTAACAAGACGGGTGTTATATCAAAGTATGTTTCTAAAGAAGAAGAAGGGCTATGCAGCATTTATAGATCAGTTTTTCTTGTGCATGTCAAACGGGACTGTGTTGTGTATACATTTTAATGTCAACCAGTAATACCTGCAGTAAACATACCACAAGTTTTTCCTTTACGAGCCTCTTCAAATGCATCCTAACTCACTCCCCCTTCTATCCTGAAAACCAAAGCAGGAACCCTCCCCTGCTCATCTGAACTATTCTCCAACAGATACTAGGTTGGAGTTTCAGAAACAAAACTGCTCAATACAAATCAGCAAGGTTCAAAGACGTGAGTAAATGTTTCCAAAGAAAACAGCTCTGGGTATTTCATTTGCAAGAGGTTTTGATTTCACAGGAAGATCATGAACAAACCGTTCAACCACTGTCACTGTCTCAGCTTTTTCCACAAAGACATCACTGCAAGAGCTGAGTACCTGATTTAGAAAGGTTGTAGAAATCAGTTCATCCAAACTTTTCTGGACTTTCTGAAAGCTGCTGTTTATCTTGATAATGTTAGAAATGGAGAGCGAACACTGTCATAAAGAACAACACTCAAATACCTGCCCAGTTCAGAGGCCTACAGCAATTGTTGTAGCAACGTGCTTACATGATGAAATGGCTGTCTGAATTTGTCTTCAGTCCACAAAAAATAAATTATTAGGAAAAAAAAAAGCCTGGTTGGACTTTTTGGTCAGAGGATGGACTTGTTAATACCTTCATCGAATGGCATTTACTGTGCTGTATTGTGTTGCGGTCTCACAGCTAGTTGTAATTTTTATGCTTTATCATTGGTAATTTTTTTTTAACTCCTGGTCAGAATGTGCTGTATTAATTTTAAATCTAATGACCCATCTTTGTGTAGCATGGATTGCTGTTCTAGTCTGGTCATTTAACTTGGTTCATGGGTCGAGTGTACTACTTGCTTCTGTGTATAACTTTGACAAACACATTTAGGTGGTTGTGTGTTTCGTTATTCATATATCACTGGTCTGTTGTTATTGTACCTGAATGTAATGGGGACTACAGCTGGATTTTGTTCTGTATTTTCACTGATTAAAGGTAAGTTCTGTTGGACTGTGACAGAGGACAGTCAGTTTCTTTTATCTCAGTGAGGGACTGAGGTTTAGTGCATCAACATCTCAGTCATGGTTCACTACTGCATCAGACAAATACTGCAATATCATTCAATTATCATGACAAAGCTCTAAAATATTGCAATACTAATATGTAGTCATTTACCCTTGCCCTAAGTTAAAGTGCACAAAAAGTTCATGCACTGACATCTTACCCGTATAGGTGGCACCTTGGGTTCTTCGGTTGTTGGCTGTGGCTTTTCTGAACTGACACTTTCAATTGTGGTACGAAAGGACTGACGGTCATCGAGTCGCGCCCTCTTTCCGGGAAACCTAGAGGGGGCCTCAGTCTCATCTTGCCTCCTCTTCTGCTCCACGGGGGTTGCGGCTGGGCTAGCTGACGGACTGCTCTCTCGGCTGCTAGTAGCGGTTCCTCCTGTGATAGAGGTGATCACAGAGGCAGTATCATCCAGGGTATCCGCAGGGACTGTGGCACTGGAAGATCCTGAAGATGATGAAGAGTCCAAGCCTGCAGCAAAAGCCCCCTGACGATCAGATGAAGAGGGTGATGAGGCAGGTGAGGATGCAGACGAAGAAGAGGTGGAGGAGGAGGAAGGAGAGGTAGTGGAGGCCAGAACGGGTGCCGTTTCCTTGGGAAGCAAGCAGGGTGTCACTTCAGGCTCTTCATTGGCACTGGTGGAGGCTGGGCTGGGACTGGGACTTGGAGCAGGAGATGGGGCTGGTAATGGAGGTGGTTCTGAAGTAGGAGAGGGCATTGGTTCTGTAGAGGCGCTCTCATCTGGGAGTTCCACAGCACAGTCAGTGTGGAGCACGACCTCACCTTGGACCACGGTGTTACTGGACATGGAAGAGTCTATGGAGACAGCCGCTACATCTAACACGGCACCTGTCTCACCTCCATCTGTAGACTGCAGAGCTGGAGCAGCCTTGCAAAGAGTACGACGAGCTCTCCGACGCAAGTCAGCACGTGTACGTCTTCTCATCCTGCCATCCCGCCTCCGGCGACCCACCGTGCGTCGTTTGGGAGCACCAGCTGCCACCACAGCAACATCAGTTTCCAGCACAGGGCCTGCAACTTCATTGGCTTCACTCATGGTGAGCTTGAGGGACTCCTCTCGTGTTAAACCAGATCTATGGGCACACAAGGTATGTATTAGAGCACCACACACTGGATATATCTGAAGAGGAGTTGTCTCTATCACATGGCAAACAACGAGAATAAGAAGGGATTAGAAGTTAGTAGGTTCTTACTTCTGCCCATGGTACTCCTCAAAAAACTTCTCCTTCCACACCTCAACCTTCTTCTCCTTTTCCATTTCCTGTCGAAAGCGGACCTGCATCTCATGGGTGAATTCACCTGAAAAGGTCAAACGCATTCACAAATTTAAAAAAATGCATCTCCGTTTTCTGCAGGGAAAACAAGTTTGAAGTTTTAATACTTTACACTTTAATGCTTGACCTATATTGTACAGGCAAACAGAGAAAATCCCACAGGGACGTCTTCCATGGAGGAAGCCGAGTCGAGGGACTTTGGGGTTTTTCTGTCCATAACCGTGGCTGAGGTTGCAAAGGTAGTTAAAAAGATCTGCAGCGGCAGGGCCCCGGGGGTGGATGAGATTCACCCTAATTTCCTAAAGGCTCTGGATATTGTGGGGCTGTCTTGGTTGACACGCCTTTGCAACATCACGTGGACATCGGGGGCAGTGCCACTGGTGGTCCCCCTCTTCAAAAAGGGGGACCAGAGGGTGTTCTCCAATTACAGGGGCATCACTCTCTTTAGCCTCCCTGGTAAGAAGAGCTATCATTTCTAACCCAGGCCCACACCCGACCCTAAATTCGGGCCAAAATAATGTGCTGGATGAGTGGGCCGGGTTGAACCTTTGATTGCATCAGCGGACACGCGCAGCTGACGATCCAATTTGGATCACCACCAGCCGCTCGTGGCCGTTTGAATGCGCGCTGACCAGCCAGTTGAAAGAGGTACAAAGAGTCCAGATGGATGACTGCCATCGACCCACCTGCAGCTTAACTGGACCAAGCTGCTGTGTCAGCGGACGCGCGCAGCCGATGAGTCAGAGTCAGAGATTCTTTATTGTCATTCGCACCACATGTGGTACATGTGGTCGAGTGAAATTATGTATGATGTATGTATGTATGTATTATGTATGATGACTGTTAAAAACTAACAACTATAATATTATAATAACTATAATAATCCGGTGACTCTCGTTAATAAACAATAAATCTTATATCTTCCTATCTTTGAAATATGTTTTTAAATCATGTCAAACTGATTTGCTTACAAAAGCAGAACAAGCTTAAGTAAAAAAAAGTTTTTGTTTTTTTTCTGGGTTCGGGTCTGTAATCAGTTACTTAGTCGGTTTCGGGTCAGGCTCGGAAAAAATTATACAGGTTCGGTCCAGGCCGGGCCGGATTTCTTTAGGCCCAAATGCAACTCTACTGGTAAGGTCTGTTCAGGAGTACTTGAGAAGCTCAGATCCAGGAGTAACAATGTGGGTTCCGTCCTGGCTGTGGAACACTGGACCAGCTCTTTACCCTCCCTAGGGTCCTCAAAGGGTCATGGGAGTTTGCCCATCCAGTCCACATGTTTTGTGGACGTGGAGAAGGCTTTTGATCATGTTCCTCAAGGTACACTATGGTGGGTACTCTTTGAGATTGGGGGCCCATTGCTATGGGCTGTTCGACCCTGTACAAGCAGTGTGAGAGTTTGGTTCGCATTGCCAGCAGTAAGTCGGACCGCTTTTCAGGGTGGGAGTTGGACTCTGCCAGGGCTGCCTGTTGTCACCAATTCTATTCATAACTTTCATGGACAGAATTTCTTGGTGCATCCAGGGGGCAGAGAGTCTGGTTTGGTGGACTCAGGATTCCATCTCTGCTATTTGCAGATGATATGGTCATGTTGGCATGTGATCTTCAGATCTCACTTGAGAGGTTCGCAGCCGAATGTGAAGCAGCTGGGATGAGGATCAGCACCTCCAAATCTGAGGCCATGGCCCTCAGTCGGAAAAAGGTGGATTGCTCTCTTCGAGTCAAGGGTGAGATTCTGCCTCAAGTGGAGGAGTTCAAGTACCTCTGGGTTTTGTTCACAAATGAGGAAAGAATGGAGCGTGAGATTGACGGACGAATTGCTGCAGCGTCTGCAGTACTGCAGACTCTGTGCTGGTATGTTGTGGTGAAGAGGGAGCTGAGCTGTGCAAAGTTCTCCGTTTACCTGTCGATTTACGTTACTACCCTCACATATGGCCACGAATTCTGGGTAGTGACCGAAAGAATGAGATCATGAATTCAGGTGGTTGAAATAAGTTTCCTCCACAGGGTATCTGGACTCTCCCTTAGAAACAGCGTGAGAAGTTCAGTTATCCAGGAGAAAATCAAAGTAGAACCGCTGCTTCTCCACATCGAGGGGAGCCAACTGAGGTGGTTCGGGCATCTGGTAAGGATGCTCCCTGGGTGCCTCCTTAAGGAGGTGCTTCAGGAATGTCCAACTGGGAGAAGACCCCGGGGAAAAAGCAGGACACGCTGGAGAGATTACGTCTCTCGGGTAAAAATAAGAATCGATAAAAATGCATTGATTTATATTATAATGGTATTGGAAAAATAAGTTGTAATGGGATATCCATATGGTTGATTTCCCCCCTCATGAACACTAGAGGGCAGTAAAGTTACTCTGAGGTTATGAGAGCAATTCAAACAATTCTGACAAAAAAAAAAAAAAAAGGATTTTTAGATTGTCAGAAAAAAAAAAGGTCCTTTTTATTGATAGTGCCAAAAAAAATAAAAAAATAATACACAGACACAAATTAGTGAGTTTTCCTCAACCCTTCTGGGGGTTAAATATTCATGTACAACCCTGCAGAAGTCTTTGATCAAATACGCAGCTTATTCATAATGAGCAGGTTCACTTACCCTCAGCAAGTCTTTCTTTCCAGCTCTGAGAGGCATGAGTAAAGAATTCATTATTGAGAGCAGAACTACTTAATCGGGCCATCCCATCAGGTCCAATCTACACAAGCAGAGAGAGAACATAGAACGCATTTATACACCAGAGAAAACAAACTGTCTTTTCGACATTTTGATCGTTGTTATTTTGACAAATTAATGCTTTTGTTTTGACACGCGATAAATGTGAATAATACACAAACATTTCTCTCGTATTTTTTTTTTGTACTGTAGCTAAGCCTTTTTATTTATTATGTCTGAAACGTATGCATGCGTTCACATCAGCAGTTGTGCGCGCTCTGTACAGATGTCTGGAGACGCTCCTGTGCATAATGTATGGCAAGCCAAGTGGCCCATTAATAGCTACTTTTACCACAAGTCTGGCAATTAATGGGCCACTTGGCTTGCCATATAGATAAAGACACTTCATCCACGTGGGACATGCCGTCCGCGTCTCTGCTGGGCAGGAGTGTGTGTGCGAGCAGGTGCGCCTGCTGCAGCTGCAATATCCACTCCAGACTGGGCAATGTCTCCTCTCTTTGCATTTTTAAATAAATAATCAAAATAAAAATGTGCAATGACTTTGGACTTTTAGGGGCAGAGATTTGAGTTGCTGGATCCAAGCAAACAGTTGCCAAAACATACCCTATCAAAATTAGAGAGTTCCCGGTAGGGGTGGGCAATATGGCTCAAATATAATATTGTGATATTTCAGAGCATTCTGACGATAACGATAAATTTCGTGATATAACAACAACAACAAAAAACAGAAATCTGTTATTCATTTGACAAAATTAACTTAACATGTTGCTTTGCAGTATTATATAAAAACTAAAAAGAAAAACAAGGGTTAATTTTACTGAAATTACTTTATTTTAGTAAAGTATTCAGTCTCAAAGTAAAAAAAAAATAAAAACTATCTTTGTTATTTAGATTGAAAAAGTCTGCACAAAATATACATCAATAAATCCACCAAAAAACTAAAGTGCAGGTGAAGTTTCCCAAAATAACTAAATAAAATGAAGCTTAAGATCTGTTGAGCATACATGTATCATACAATATATGTTGTCTTTAAATGAGCTATAACTTCCAAAACTTGACAAGGTGCCTCCAGCTGACCCTGAAGCTCGTTGGTGTTTCATCTTTCTCTGTTCCTGCAGGAATGACACATTTCTCTTTCATCACCTGACTCTGTTCTTGGTCAATGGACTGTGGAACTCCAGAGACAGACCTGCGCGTGTTTGTACCGGCAGTTTAGAGCGGGGGAGACGCAGCCTGCACCGGCAGCCAGAGCAGGGTGAGGAGAAAAAAAAAAGACGAGTGGCAGCTTAGAGCGGGGGAAGGGAGAGACATTTGAGCCGTCTGTACCTGCAGTTTAGAGCTGGATGGAGACAGCTGAGCCACGCGTGGTTTGTTTTTAGCTTTTTAACTAGCTAGTACTGCTCACAACTAATTAGCGTTACACCAGTACCGACAGGTGAGGGGGGGGGGGGGGGGCGCAATTCGGTTTGGTTGTTCGCCGCACACGGTTCTGTTAAAGGGGCGAGGCCCCTGACGTATTACGTCATGAAATTAGCATATAATGATATCATTTTTTTTGCGCAGGCAAGCTTTTTTTTTACCAGTATTATCGTGACCAATATGCCCTAGTTCCTGGATCTTGTTCTGGCAGAATCCGTTCAAATTAAGTACTGGAACACGGGCTGCAGGGGGGCCTGTGGGTCCTGCCCAAGAAAATGTTGAATAAGTATATGCCATTTCCTGCATTCTGGTGTATTTTAACAGGCTGTTAAAACATATATGTTTACCTGCATTTGTAAACACTTTATTCAACAACTATTAGAGAGCAACAACAGCTCTCTCCTTGTGCATGAATGGAGCAGCTCCGCTTCTATCAATCATCCTAAACCCCGCCCCCTTCCCCTCACGTCACAGTTCAGAGCTCGACTCTTATCTGCTGAATTCAGTCCTGCTTTCAAACCGATTTGCAATTTTGTTGTGCTGTTTAATGATTTTTTTTTTTTTTTGTCGTTGTTTCTTAATAAAAATGCGCAATGACTTTGGACTTTTAGAGGTGGAGGTTTGAGTTACTGGATCAGAGCACACAGTTTCCGGAATACACACTGTCAAAATAAGAGATACTGGATCTTGTTCTAAAGAGTGATCGGGTTGTTGTTTATTTTTAATAAATAATCAAAATAAAAACTTGCGATGACTTTGGACCTTTAGGGGCAGAGATTTGAGTTGCTGGATCCGAGCAAACAGTTGCCAGAACCCACCCGGTCAAAATTAGAGAGTTCCCGGATCTTGTTCCAGCAGGATCTGGCTCACATTAAGCACTGGTCTAACCTTAAAGACCAATAAGATACTGTCATTGACCCATCCCCCAACACAGACGTGCATTAACAAGGATATGACCAATAAAATTACCGGACAGGTCAAAGTGGACCAATGAAACTTCTTATTACTAGCTACTGTAAATGTAATGCACTCACACTAAATTCTTCAGATCAGGTACTGTACTTTTACGCCTCATGCACAGACTTTGTTCATTTGTTCAGCGATAATGGAAAAAGCATGGAGAATTTCTTATGATGCAGCCGTCAAGTTCAAAGCGATGGATCTGGCTGTCGAAGATGGAAACAGAGACGATAAGCTTTGCATCAACGAGTTGATGGTCAGGCATTGGCGATGCAAAGCAGTCAAGTCTGATACATGTTTTAACAAAAGTTTTAAAATTATTTCTGTGTGACATCTTTCTGTGTACGGTAAATATGTGTTTAAAAACCGGTATCTCATTTTAAACTCTCATCCGAGCACATTAAACCGAGTGGAGACAACGAACGAGGAGGGCTCTTCCCCCCTTCCCTTCCATCATGAGAGCTCAGAAGAGAAGTTGTCAGATTTATTTTTAAAGCACTTAGTCAGTCAAGACTGGTAAATATTTAAATAAAAGTTTTTAAAAAATCTTTCTGTGCACGGTAAATAAGTGTTTAAACACCAGTATCTAATTTAAGCTCATCTAAACGCATGAAACAGAGCGGAGGAGACAATGTATGGGAGCAGCTCTTCCCCCTTCCTCCCTCCCGCTCATGTGAGCAGTGCTGTGGAGAAATCACGTCAAATTTATTTAGAAGGTACATTTAAAAACAGCACTTGTTACCAAAAGTGTTTAACAATAAAAATCAATGATACCAATTTAATTACCATTTACTGATTTTACCGGTACTATTTGACTTAAGGTCACGGGACCTCAATAAGAATTCTGGGTAAAATTTACCGGTATATATATATACTTTTTTTTTTTAAATAATTTTGGTTACGTAGGTGTTTGGCACTGTCCTGTCCAGTGATTATGCTTAGATAGTTCTTGTGTTCATTCTGTAAATTGAATGGTTTTAACTAGGAATGCGCAATATAAACGGTACACGGTAGAAACAATAGAAATTTAGCCTACGATAGAGATCTGTCTTCTACCAGCTAACCGCAGTAATGCTGTGTCTGAAGTAAAATCAGAGTTGTCAGATTTAATCGTTACTTTTTTTTGTTGAAAACTGTGCGCAAGTGGCGTTAAAGTCTTTTCTTCGAGAGCTAAGTAGCGAAGCTACAAGCTAACTACAGCCGGCTTGTCGTAGTGTTGCCGTATTCGGACGCATGCGCAAAACGCTGTGTTCCGTCAAAAGTTTTATTTTTCCCCTCGAAAGTTAAAGTAAGCGTTGGTCAGCTGTAGAGAAACCTGCTCTCTGATCTGTGGAAAAAAAAAAACACTGTTGTGTGATTTTACTGCGAGACCCTCTGGTCAAAGCCACAGACTCATTTTGTGTCAGCTCTCCTTAAAGCGGAAGGAGTCGCCAACTAGAGGGTTGGAGGGTGAAGTGTTTCAGTGTAAAATGCTGCTCTGTTGCTGTTCATTTCTTAAGTGAGACTGGAAACTGTTAACAACATATTCTTTTGTTTAAAATATATGGCTAAAACTACATTTTATATATTTTGCACTGTTTTGCACTACAAGCAAGAAGCCCAATTGTTGATTTGTTTATTATTTAAAAACTCTCTGGACCTAGTAGTGGAATTTTTTTTAATTCAAAATAAATGATAGCAAAAGGACACCCTATGCTTAAAAAAAATTCCTATTAAGTTTTATATCCAAAACATATTGTGATATATATCGTTATCGCCACCCTTCACAATACATATCGAGATATGAATTTTATGCCATATCGCACATTCCTAGTTTTAACCAGGATTCAGACAGCAAAGCATTATGAAGACTTCAGATGATCATGCAGTCTAAATGTGTGTTGAAAGCAAGCTATAGTCTATGAAACGCCATACGGTGGTTGATTCTTGTATTCTTGTTCAACAGCTGCACATTACGACGGAGTTGGATGGGCACATATTCTGACGAGGAACGGTGGATGCCCACGGCTTAATAGCTGGAGCGTCTTATTTATGTACAAACTTATGATTTATCTTGTATTTAGTATACGTGGCTTAGACACAGGTGCGTTCTATAGCCCGAGAATTACGATACTAGTCTCTTCTCCTCAAAGGATAAAACCACAAACCTGTCTGTCCACCTCGGGCAGTAGCTGCAGCAACTGCTGCTGAGAGTGTGGAGGGAAAGCTGAGAACGTCCTCACATTGATGAGAGCTCTGATGTTGGTATTCACCAGGATGGAACCAGGTGTTTCGAAGTCCACATCAACACCTCCTCGGCTTCTCTTCATGGGACCTGAAACAACAAGAGTACAGTATACGGTCATTATGCACCCATCGACAAACTACTATACAGCAATCTATAGCAATGGCCCAGACAAGCAAAGACCTTGGATAACATTTGATCTTGATTTGTGACCATTTCTTGGAGCTGGGGTGATGAAAAGTGTACAGGACACCCCATCTAGTGATGATGCATTTGTGTATGACGTTTCAATAAATTATGTTGAGCAAATCAAATGTTATGGGCGGGACAATAGATGGTTTACGAATGTATTCCATAGTACAGCCGTCTTTTGATTGGCATGAGCTGTCTCGAGCTACAAAGTTTTTGATCTCTTTTATTATGTTTGTGTCTATGTACCGCTGTGATGGACTTGAGACCTGTTCAGGGTGTACCCCGCCGCTCAAACAGTGATAGCTGGACATGGGCACCAGTGACCCCTGCGACCCGAAAAGGAAGAAACGGGTAAAGATAATGGATGGATGGATGGATGGATGTTATAACATATAATGTACCGTAATGATAATAATTTAATAAAAATATTATACGTTGTTGATGTTGTATGCATTTTTGTTGATTTTTATGGTTTCCAGTGTTAAGCATTATATTTGTACTGATAACCCTTTTGTGTGAAGTTCTTTAGCACTTTATAAATTTGATTTGACCTTTTGTCACAGATTCTAGCAGTCTAGTCACTTAAAATCTGTTGAATGTTGAAAAATTCTGTGCAACACAATATCTTTCAAAACAGATTTCTCAGTCGTCTTCTTGGCACCTCATTTCGAACCCTTCTTTATTTAGTTTTTGTAGCGCTACAGCAGGGGTGTCAGTCATATGGACTGCTCACACCGGCACGTTGGGGGTCCAATTCGGCCGCTGGACAAGGTACCTAAAACAACAACTGCAATTTTTCAATAAAACTGCTATTTGTAATTTGTCCCGTAGGACAAACTAACCAGCAGATGGCAGCAACGCACCTTCTAATTTTAGCCTTGTGATTCAGACACATTTTCCCTCTGGCATTTTCATTATCAAAAATGTCAAAAAGGAAAACAGTTGGCACAGAGTGTGGAGTTTTCAAAGAAAAACTGACAAGCTCCTATTTATTTACAGAAGTGAAAGGGCAACATGTATGCTTGGTATGTATGCAGCAAGTTTCAGTATTAAAGGAATATATTGGGTGCTACCATGAGGACTCAGTATGGCAAAAAAAAAAAAAAAATACAACAGATTGCTAGTACAATTGAGACAAGAAAAAAACAAATTATTGGTGAGTCTGGGGAAGCAGTAGTCTATTTTAATCAGGCATTGAATGGTCAGTGATGAAGCAGTGAAAGCTAGCTACCTAATTGCCAATTAAGTAGCATAAACCTCCATAAGCCCTGAGAAGCGACAAGCTCCTGCCAACATTAGCCTGACATGAAACACTGATGCTGACAGGATTTCAGATCTCTCAGCAGATTAGGACAGTAAGTTGAAACACAAAGTCAAATCATTTGTTGCATCGTCTCTTGCAATAGACAAAAACACCAACATTACAGACATTGCTCTTCTTCTTCTTTCGAATTTTCCCTCTTCAGGGGTCTTCACAGTGAGTCATCCTCCTTCATCTAACTCTGTCCTCTGCATCCTCTGTCCAACTATCTCCATGTCCTCTCTAACTGCATCCATACATCTCCTTTTTGGTCTTCCTCCTGGCAGCTGCATTTCTAACATCCTTCTACCAATATACCCACTGTCCCTCCTCTGGACATGTCCAAAACATCTCAGTCTGGTCTCTCCAACTTCATCTCCTAGTTGTTCAACCTGTGCTGTACCTCTGATGATCTCATTCCTAATATTATCCATCCTTGTCACTCCTAAGGAGAATCTCAACATCTTCAGCTCTGCCACTTCCAGTTCTTTCTCCTGTCTTTTTGTCAATGCCACTGTCTCCAGACCATACATCATAGCTGGTCTCACCACTGTCTTGTAAACTTTTCCTTTGACCTTTGCTGACACCCTTTTGTCACAAATCACTCCTGAAACTTTTCTCCATCCACTCCATCCTGCCTGGAATCTCTTCTTCATCTCTTTACCACACTCCACATTTTCCTGGACAGTGGACCCAAAGTACTTGAAGATACTTGAAGCATCTATGTAATCTCTGCTCCTTGTAGCCTCACTGTTCTACCGGTCTCCCTCTCATTCACCCACATATCCTACTATGCCTGACTTCCATTCCTCTTCTTTCAAGTGCATACCTCCACCTCTCCAAGTTCTCTTCCACTTGTTCTCTGTCCTCCCCACAGATCAAATGTCATCTGCAAACATCAAAGTCATGGGGAATTCCTGCCTGACCTCATCTGTTAGTTGGTCCATCACCAGAGCAAACAAGAAGGGGCTCAGAGCTGATCCTTGATGCAATCCCACCTCCACCTTGAAGCTATCTGTCACTCCTACAGTCCACCTCATCACTGTCCTGCTGTCCTCATACATGTCCTGTACCAGTCTAACATACTTCTCTGCCACTCCAATTTCCTCATGCAATAACACACCTCCTCCCTCGGCACCCTGTCATGTGCTTTTTATAAATCTACAAAGACATATTAAAGCATCTGTGGTGCTCTTTCTTGGCATGAAACCGTACTGCTGCTCACAAATAGTCACCTCTCGTCTAAGTCTAGCTTCCACAACTCTCTCCCAGATCTTCATTGTGTGACTCATCAACTTAATTCCCCTGTAGTTGCTACAACTCTGTACATCACCCTTGTTCTTAAAAATGGGCATCAGCACACTTCTCCTGCATTCCTCAGGCATTTTATCACTCTCAAATATACCATTGAATATTTGGGTCAAAAACCTCACTGCTAACTCTCTACAGTTTCTATGACCTCTACTCTTTCTTTATCATTCTCTTCATTAATTATCTCCTCAAAGTACTCCTTCCATCTTCCCATCACACTCTCCTCACTTGTTAGAACATTACCATTCCTATTTTTAACAAGCCTAACCTTCTGCACATCCTTTCCAGCCTGATCCCTCTGTCTCACCAATCGGTACAAGTCCTTCTCGTCCTCTTTAGTGTCCAGCCTCCTATAAAACTCATCATACACCTTCTGCTTTGCCTTTGCTACCTCCCTCTTTCCTTTACATTGCATTTCCTTATATTCCAGTCTCCTCTCTTCAGTCCTCTCAGTGTCACATTTCTTCTTGGCTAACATTCATTTGAATAGCTTGTACTTCACTATTCCATCACCAGGTTTCCTTATCATCCATTCTCTGTCCAGATGACACACCAAGTACCTTCCCACCAGTCTCTCTAATTACTGTTGCTGTAGTATCCTAGTCATTTGGAAGCTCTTGCTTACCACCCAGACCCTTTAACAGTTCCTCTTAATTTCTCACAACATTCTTCTTTTCTGTTTCCACCATTTGGTCTTCTTCCCTGATTTTACTCGTTTTCTCTTCTTCACAACAACAGTCATTCTGCACACAACCATCTGATGCTGTCTGACCATGCTCTCCCCTGCCACATCCTTACAGTCTCAAATCTCCCTCAGGTTTCCTCTTCTACACAGAATGTAGTCTACATGCCTACTCCTTCCTCCACTCTTTTAGGTCACTCTATGTTCCTCCCTCTTTCCAAGTGAGGGGAGTGTGATGGGAAGATGGAAGGAGTACTTTGAGGGAGGAAAGAGGAAAGAAGGTGTAAAGGGGTAAGTGTTTATTACAGCCATTTCCATTCTCTGGGCAAAATCTACCACCATCTGTCCTTCCTGGTTTCTTTCCTTGACTGAAAACCTACCCATCACTTCCTCAGCCCCTCTGTTTCCTTCACCAACATGTCCATTCAGGTCTGCTCCAATCACCACTCTCTCCTCCCTGGTTATACCCTCTATCACGTTACCAAGATCCTTCCAAAATATATCTTACTTCCACTTTACATCAAACCTGTGGAGCATAACCACTGAAACATTTAGCATCAGGCCTTTTACTTCCACCTTCAGACACAACACCCTATCTAACACCCTTTTCACCTCTACTACATTCTTTGCAAATGCATCTTTCAGGATCATCCCTACTCCATTTCTCTTTCTATCCACACCATGGTAAAACAGTTTAAACCCTGCTCAAAAGCTGCAAGCCTTGCTGCCCTTCCACTTGGTCTCTTGGGAAACATACGACATCTACCTTCCATCCTTCTCTGCATCATGTTAGCTAGATTAGGGATGCACTGATCAACTTTTTTTTTTTACTTCCGATCCCGATACGTAAAACTGTATATCGACTGATACCGATCCAGTTCTGATATCATCATCATTATTGGTTTTATATGAGGCTGTAATAATCTCCTCTCAAGTACAGTTTGTACAAATATATGCATGCATGTCCAAAAGGGCAACTTGAGGTAAGTTGTATTAATGTTGGATAAGTTTCAAAGTTAGAATTAAATTATTCTAACACAAAACATGTTTCTTTTTATTCCTAGCTTTAAAGTGGATATTAAAGTGATTAATTTAAGTGATTGTTTGTATAGTCATTTATTTATTTATTTTTTTATAAAAGGGCAGATAATCATTTTTCTCTTCTTTCTGCTCTCTTTTCATTCAATGTTTTCTTTTTGATGAATTTGTTGTTTATTTTTGTTTCTTTTAAATGAATGAATAAATGAATTAAATAAAATAAAAAATTAATGGCTTTAAACATCTGCTAAGTTCATGGCATAAACCAACAGACATGTTCCTGTTTTTAGTATTTTACATCGCTTTATAATGTAGCTGTTTTTTTAATATATAATTTTATTGTAATTTTGAATTCATATGTTTGTTTTTTATGATTGTCTACTGTTGTACTGATATCTCCTGGAGGGTACACTATCTTGGCTGCAAGTATCAAGCTGCGAAATCCTTAATTTTCTACAACTGATAGCAGTTCGTCATTAATTATAATGAATTTTAGCAACTTCTCTGTAAACAATCGAGCTTCAGGGGCTTCAGCAATGTCTTCTTCTTGTTCAACCTGAAGCAAGCAGCTTGATTTCGGTCAGCCGCGCACAGTCTGTCCCTCCTCAGAGACAGGCAGACTGAACGGGGCAGATTGGACGCGGCTGGCCAGGGTCGAGTTGCCCGTTTCGGGTTGAGCAAAGAGTAGCGCCCCGCTGAAGCAACGGAGCTCGAATGTCTAACGTAAAACTAAATTTACAGCTGTTTAATGTGGTGCTATGGCTCTGCAGCCATTGCACGTTGCTGTCATGTTTTGTGGTGTTTCTAGTGTAAAATACTTCCACACAGCGGACATGTTTCAATGAAAAGTTGGTTAGCTGTTAGCCACAATGTTGCTCACTCAGTCCTCACGTTGTAGCGGCTGCAAACTATGAACTGGATTTCCTGAATGTGAGGCGGGTCTTATTACCCTGGGTTCATGAGACACGCCTCAGTTCAGAAAATACATTCCATAGTTTGAAGCCAACATGCATCATGGATCGGAAATCTCTGCAGGTTGGATCGGAAAAATCCCAAACGTAAATTATGCTGTATCGGAGGCCAACACCGGATTGGATCGACCCCATCCCTAAGCTAGATCTCTACTTTTGTCTGTCATTGTCCCCACATTTAGAGTTACCACCTTCAGTCCTACATTCTTGACGTTCCTCTTCTCTCTCCATCTCCTGACTTGTTTCTCTCCTCGTAGTCTTCGACTAACAGTAGCACAATTTACACCAGCACCCCGTTTTCAACAGCACCAGTGGCGGTCATTGTTAATGCGGGCCTCAACCTATCTGGTATGGTGTTGCTTAGATGAACTCGTATTAAAGTTTTGGCAAAAGTGTTTTAAGTCAGATGCCCTTCCTGACACAACCCTCACCATTAACCCAGGCTTGGGACCAGCACAAGAGATACACTCCCTAGTGGCTGGTCACGCAAAATGCGGCTGCATCGTACATTGGTCCTAAACACTCAAAAGTTCAGTGAGACTGCAGCTGAAATTTTGCCTATTTTCTCAAGGTTTACTTATGTAAATGAGGGTTATGTCTGATGAATATACTGAACACCAACCACTGCAGAGCTGTTAAAATGACTGATTATAACTGCAGTCTTAATAACTTCTGTGATTTAATTAACCCGATGCGTCAGTTTTCTGCACTCGAAGGACACAGAGCATGTCATGCAACTCTTCTGGGTGATACAGAATTCAATTTAAACCTTGAATGAACAGCAAGCAGACATTGCCAACAGCCTTGATGTGTCGGATCCATGTGAAACAGATCTAAACATAAAGGTGCTGATTTAACCATGATACACATTGAAATGTTGCCAGGTTTGATTTCTTCAAGGACTTATGTTGAAAATTGAACCATTGATATTTTCTGTAATGAGAAGGTGATGACCAGATGGTTTTCTCAGTGTGCATGGGATTTTTACCTGCAGGGACATGGTCTCCATTCACTTTAAGAGGAGTGAGAACAACACGAGGCATCATGACAGCTTTCTTCCTCTGTCTTCCCGACTGCACAAACAGAAATTAAACATGTTATAGATGAACACAGGCCATGCTCTGTTGGTTCAACAGATTCAACAAGATGACATCTATATCACAAAACAAGCATAAATCTAATGAAAAGCGTTTATCTGAGGTTCAGAAATGCTATTCTATTGAAAAAAAAGCATTATCTGTGTTTATGTTTATTGGGGTTGTGAAGAGTACTCATACACAGACAACGCTTTACCCATACAAAAACAGTAGGTACGTGTAGCCATTTCTGAATATTCAAAGTCTTGTTAAAACAGTCATATTAAAAGAATTAACGTGACAATCAGAAAAAAAAAATTAAACAAATACCGGCACCTGACAGTGACATGCAAACTTCCTAACAATGTTCTTGTAGTGTGGATGTTTTTTTTTTTCAAAATAACACCTACTGCCCACCACCCTCTCCCAGAAATAAAAAAAATATTATAAATTAATGATTAGATGAAAGATGTAAGCTAATTTTTTAGATTAGCTTCCAGCCACAATATGATTTTACATTTAAACTTGTTTAAACATTTAAACATGTCTGAAGTAAGATGACAAGGGAACAAAACTGAAAATGCGGTTTTGCACACAATTCACTGAAAATGGGAGTTGATGGTGGTGTGCAGAATGACTGCTGTTGTATAGAAGAGAGAAAGAGTAAAGTCAGACAAAGATCAAATGGTGGAAGCTGACGAAGGAAGAATGTTGTGAGAAGTTCAGAAAGGAGCTGTTAAAGGATCCGAGTGGTAAGAAAGCTTCCAAATGACTGGGCTACTACAGAAACAGTGATTAGAGAAATGGATAGAAAGGTACTTGGTGTGTCATCTGACAGAGAAAACAGGAAAATGGGAAACTAGTGGTAGAACAGTGAAGTGCAAGAAGCTATTCAAAGAAAGAGGTTGGTCAAGAAAAGATGGGACAGAGAGAGAGGACAGAGAATAGACAGGAATATAAGAGCAAAAATGGAGGTGGCGAAGACAAAACAGAAGGTGTATAAGAGTTATTTAAGAGGCTCATCACCAAAGAGGGACAGAAGGACTTATATGAGAAAGAGGCAGCGGGATCAGGCTGGAAAGGATGTGCAGAATGTTAGGCTTGTTAAAAATAGGAATGGTAATGTTCTCGCAAGTGAAGAGGGTGTGATGGGAAAATGGAACGAGTACTTTGAGGAGCTAATGAATGAAGAGAATGAAAGAGAAGAGGTCATTGAAACTGTGGACCAAGATGTGGGAAAGATTAGTGAGGGTGAAGCCTGGAAAGCTCTGAAAAGAATGAAGATGGGGAAGACAGTAGGACCTGAAGACATACCTGTGGGAGTTTGGAAATGTCTTGGAGAGATGGCAGTGAGGTTTCTGACTCAAATAGTCAATGGCATATTTGAGGGTGAGAAATGCCTGAGGAATGGAGAGGAAGTGTGCTGATGCCCATTTTTAAGAACAAGGGTGATGTACAGAGTTGTAGCAACTACAGGGGAATTAAGTTGTTGAGTCACACAATGAAGATTTGGGACAGAGTTGTGAAAGCAAGACTTAGATGAGAGGTGACTATCTGTGAGCAGCAGTATGGTTTCATGCCAAGAAAGAGCACCACAGATGCTTTGACAATGCTGATGGAGAAGTACAGAGAAGGTCAGAAAGAACTCCATTGCGTCTTTGTGGATTTAGAAAAAGCATCGGACAGGATTGATGTTAGACCGGTACAGGACATGCATGAGGACAGCAGGACAGTGGTGAGATGTGCTGTAGGAGTGACAGATAGCTTCAAAGTGGAGGTGGGATGCATCAAGGATCGGCTCTGAGCCCCTTCTTGTTTGCTCTGGTGATGGACCAACTAACAGATGAGGTCAGGCAGAAATCCTCATGGACTATGATGTTTGTGAGAACAGGGAATAGGTGGAAGAGAACTTGGAGAGATGGAAGTACACAATTGAGTGGAATGAAAGTCAGCTGTAGTAAGACAAGAGTCCATGTGTGAATGAGATTGAGGCAGGTGGAACAGTGAAGACCTCAAGGACTTAGGGTCCACTTTCCAGGAAAACAGTGAGTGTGAGTGTGTAAAGAAGTGAAAAAGAGAGTCCGGGCAGGATGGAGAAAGGTTTCAAGAATGATTTGTGACAAAAGAGTGGCAGCAAAGGTCAAAGGATAGGTTTAAAAGATAGTGACATCAGCTACGTAGAAGGGTTTGTAGAAAGCAACATGGACAAAAGGACAGGAGATATGACTGGAAGTGGCAGAGCTGAAGATGTTAAGATTCTCGTTGAGTGTGACAAGGATGGAGAAGATTAGGAATGAGATCAGAGGTAAAGCACATGTTGAACAGGTTGTATTTTTTGTACTTTATACATCAGAAAAGCTTGGCTACACCTGAGCTGCAAATTCAAATGCTCATGGAGGATAAAAGTCTGCGTCTGCAACAGTAGCAAGACGAAACAAGCTTTAAAACTTTTCCAAAAGCAGAAGGGGCCTAAAGTATGGAAATACTTCAAGCTAGTGTTGTAGTACTCAAAACCAGTCTTGGTCTCAAGACCACTTTTTGATGGTATTGGTCTTGTCTCAGACTCTAATGCATTTGGTCTTGTCTGACATTGACGACTCTGGATTTTATTTCAAGACCAGTCAAGACCACAACTGTGGAAATATCACTAAATTGTCAGAACATTGTCCAGTTTATTTGTTAACATCTTTGTTTTTATTGGATGCAAAACGTTCTGGTTCAGATCCAAGCGATAACATGACTCATTGCTAAATAAATTTTTTGTTACCACTGTCACGCCCACCCCCTTTCACTCGCACGTGTCACTCCCAGTGTTGCCAGATTGGGCGGTTTACTGCCAATTGGGTGTTTTTTTTTCTGATTTTGCTGGCAACTCTGTGAAGATTTTTGCTGGATTGTTGCATTTTGCCACATGTTAAATTACCTTGGCTTGTACTGATGTGCTTCATGTTCAAACAGTAAATATATTGTAACAATATACTGATTGGGCAAATTTTTGTGTGATGGAGGTTTTTAACAGGTTTTTGGACTGGAAAACCTTGAACTTATCTGGCAAGACTGGTCACTCCAAGAAAGTGATAAGTGATTGTCTGGGCATGGGAGAAGATATCTGCCATATTATCAGTTATAAAATCCGGCTATTTAAATCACAAAGAATATACTTGTAACTAATATTCATTTATGTAACTTTTTAGGTGTATATCTACTATAATAAGACCAAGGATAACCATATAGTAGCACAGTGGTTTCGAGTTTGGACTTATTAAGTGTTTTGCCACTTCAGTTTTTAAGACTTGGCATGTGATGAAACTGGTTCCAATTTAACAGTTGTGTAATTTTATTGTTAAATCACATGAAGTTAGGCCACTGAATGTTTGATTTCTTTATATAGGTTTGAAATTTTATAAAAGCAAACTTAAAGTTGCAGTATGTAACTTTTATAATAATATTTTATAATAAAATTTTATATTTTATGTATTTTATTTGAGGTCTTGGTCTCGTCTTGGTCTTGCCTTCCCTCGGTCTTGGTCTCGACTTGGTCTCGGACCCTAAAAGTCTTGGTCTTGTCTTGGTACACTCTGGTCTTGAACACAACACTACTTCAAGCTAGCAGAAAATAAAAAGGGGCTTGTTTGAGCTAGGGGTGGGCGATATGGCTCAAATATAATATTGTGATATTTCAGAGCATTCTGGCGATAAAGATAAATTTCGTGACATAACAAAAAAAAAACAGAAATCAGTTATTCATTTGACAAAATGTTGCTTTGCAGTATTATATAAAAACTAAAAAAAACAAGGGTTAATTTTACTGAAAGTACTTTATTTAGTATTCAGTCTCAAAGTATAAAAATAAAAAATAAAAATGATCATTCTGTTATTTAGATTGAAAACATCTGCACAAAATATAGATCAACAAATTCCACCACAAAAACTAAAGTGCAGGTGAAGTTTCCCAACTAAATAAACTGACGCTTAAGATCTGTTGAGCATAAATGTAACATACAACAAAAAATATGTTGTCTTTAAATGAGCTATAACTTCCAGAACCTGACATGGTGATCAGCTGACCCTGAAGCTTGTTGGGTGTTTCAGCTTCCTCTGTTCCTGCAGGAATGATTCATTTCTCTGATGCTCTGTCTTTGATCACCTGACTCTGTTCTTTGTCCATGGACTGTGGAACTAAGAGACAGACCTGCGCGTGTTTGTACCGGCAGTTTAGAGTGGGGGAGACCCGCACCGGCAGCCCAGAGCAGGGTGCGGAGAAAGAAAAAAGACTAGCTGCGTTTGTACTGGCAGCTCAGAGTGGGTTGTGGGGGGAGGGAGAGACAGTTGAGCTGTCTGTACCGTGTTGTTTGTTTTTATCTTTTTAGCTAGCTAGTATTGCGCATAACTAGTTAGCATTACGCCAGTACAGACAGGTGGGGGGGGGGGGGGGGCAGTTCGGTTTGGTCGTTCGGCGCGCTCGGGCGCTTGACACATTATGTCATGAAATTAGCATATCATGATATAATTTATTTGCCCGGGCAAGCTTTTTTTACCGGTATTATCGTGAACAATATGATATGGCCCAGCCCTAGTTTGAGCTGCAAGGAATAATTCAAAATCTTATTTCTAACCTACAAATCTTTCAACAACCTAGCTCCATCTTATATTACAGATCCTATTGTTCCATACTTTCCTAACATCGCACTTCGCTCTCAGAATGCAGGTTTATTTGTGGTTCCTAGAGTTTCTATAAGTACCGTAGAATGGGAGGCAAAGCTTTCAGTTATCAGGTCCCTCTCTTGAAGAACCAACTTCCAGTTTTTGTCCATGAGGCTGACACATTATGCATATGAATGTTTCTGTTCAGTGCCCTGAGATGACTTCTGTTGTAACTTGGCGCTCTATAAATAAACTGAATTGAATAAGCTCTTTAACAAATGATTCTTCAGAAAGTTTAAAAGTTGTTGAGGTGTTTCCAATACTCAAAGAATGGACTCTACTCTGAATAGCTGTTAGTTACACTACTTAGTCTCTTCCCTGATTAATACAATTGAGATCACTACTGCAGGTAAGACACTGCCTCCTCATAATTAGTCCACAACAGTCCAAATGACTAAATTAGAAAAGGCCACCTGTGTAGAAAGTGTGCAACATGTTAGAAATGTGTAAACAAGAAATAATGCAGTTGTTTATGATGCTGACTTGTCTGGACCGGCTCAGTCTGGTCTGGGTCTGTTGTGGATCCGTGCGGCCCTGTTGCCCTGCTGCTCTGCTCAGACGAGTCTGAGGCTGGGAGGTGGGAGGTTGCAGCTCTGTGGAGCAGGAGGCGTTGGATGAACTCTCATCCACTGAGCCTAGAAAACCAAACACATACAGTTATAAAACATAATGAAGCTGATGAAAAAATGTCTCCACCTCAGACAGACCTGATGTTTAGTTTTTCTCGTCAACACACGCTGACAGGACAAACTAATTTGTGGTGATAAAAGTGCTTCTGTGAAAAGAAAACCAACTGTCCCCAGAACCCATTCAAAAACAGCTTTACCCACCAACCCTGCTACAACACTGGAGAAGGTATTTTTTTGTGATGTAATGTGTTTGTCACCCAGTGTTCAACTTCACTTTTGTTAAATATTTTAGAAAGGTCAAAAATGTGACAAAAAGGACCAAAAACCCACTGATCACTGTCAGACTTGTACTGCACTAACTGGTGTTCTTGACGTAATGTGCATCAAAAAGGTTTCTTTTTTATTTTATTGACATTTAGCATCAAACTTAGCATGTACTTCAGTGATTAGTCACACAACATTCTCTTGAATGTCCCTTTTTAGGAATACGCTCAGCCAAAAAAAGAAAGTCTGATTCATCACAACTTGAACTCCTCCATCAGTCCATACATCCATACTGTACATCCAGCCATATATATACATACATACATACATGTGTGTGCACATGTGTACATGTCTGTACATACATGCATATGTACATTTACATACATGCATATATACATGCATGCATACATCAGTGTTTTCCCTAACATTCTAGCAGGGCTTGTATAATGCCTACCCAACTGTAATATGTAAAAACTTACACATTTGTGAGTGGCAAAAGTGTGTGAACCTCTAGGATTAGCAGTTAATTTAAAAGAAGAAATCAGAAAAAAGAAAAAGAAAAAGTCAGATGTTTTCAATAAATCAAGTCAAGGTTCTTTATTGTCATTCCACCACACGTGGTACATGTAGTGGTCTAATGGAACAAAATTTTGTGCACAGGATCCCAGTTACATGTGATGATGATCAGGTGTGAGTGGACACCCTGTTTGATTTAAAGAACAGGAAGTCTGCTTTTCACAACATGTTTGTGGAAGTGGATCATGGCATGAGCAAAGGAGATTTCTGAGGACCTCAGAAAAAGAGTTGTTGATGCTCATCAGGCTGGAAAAGGTTATAAAACCATCTGTAAAGAGTTTGGCCTCCACCAATCCACAGTCAGACAGACCTCATACAAATGGAGGAAATTCAAGACCCTCCCCAGGAGTGGTGGACCAACGAAGATTACTCCAAGAGCAAGCAAGGCGTGTCAGTTCGCTTCCGCACCCGACTTACTTGACGGTTCCGTCAAGTGGAGGGGTGGGCTTGACACAAGCTGAATGGTTACAAATGTAGATAATGATGTTTAAGCAATCTGTTAAAATACACCAAAATGCAGGAAATCACATCTACTTTATAAAATTTTCAGGGGGAGGATCCGCACACACACACCCCGGTCCGCTCACTTCTTGCATTCTGGCATTGACCAGTTTACAAATTAAGCCCTGATCAAAAGTTACCGGAAACGTTTAGCTGCAGTTATTGCTGCACAGGGGAGTCACACCAGATACCGACAACAAAGGTTTACATACTTTTGCCACTCACAAATTTGTAATACTGCATCCTTTTCATCAATAAATAAATGACCAATTATAATTTTGTTTCATTTGTTTACCTGGGTTCTCTTCATCTACTTTTAGGACTTGTGTGAAAATCTGAAAATGTTTTAGGTCAGATTTATGCAGCAATATAGGAAATTCTATAAAGGGTTCACAAACTTTCAAGCACCACTGTACAACACAAATGATCCCATGATCGCAGTCTTGTGGTTTCAATGTCCAACAGTAAAATGTAGGTCAATACATCTAGTTTTTTTTTATTTTAAGTTGATCATAAAATTGCAACAGGAACTTGCATACATGTTTTTTTGTGTGTGTTTTAAGGACAACTTTCAGAGTGCTGTGGAAAGGGTCTTAAATCTACAGACCACAACATATAATCTTCCCAGCTAGGGCTGGACGATATGGACCAAAATTAATATCTCAATATTTTAAGAAAAATTGTGATATACCATAAATATCTCTTTTTTTCCCATAAAGTAATAACAAAAATATATTTCTGAGTCAAAGCTTGTCCCATTTGTCACACATTCACATTTATTAACAACAGCTGTAACTGTACAAAATAAATGTCTAAAATATAAACCATTTACATATATTAAAGTTTGTTTTATAGACATTTATTTATATATATATTAAAGAATAATCCTTTTCAGCTGCGCTGCCTTCACGTTAGTAAGCGTGTGTGAAGCTGCAGTGAGGGGCTGCTTGAATTCAGCGAAGGAGGAGGGTGCGTGAAGTTGGACGGGCAGAAAAAGAACTACTGTACACAGATTTTCACGTCTTACAGGTAGCGCCACATTAATAAAGCAGTAGCTAATCATATCACTAAAGACATGGTCCTTAGAGGCTAATAAGACGGCTAACTTTAGCCATCTTGTTAGCCGTTAAGGACTGTGTCTTTAGCGATATGATTAGCCACTGCTTTAATGTCGCAACACCTCCCTGTTCCTCTCATAAGACACAGCACGACTACATGAGTTTTATACAGTGGTTTGTTTCAGGGAAGGAGGCTGAGTCTGTCAGACCTGCAGCTTCACAAATGCTTCATACTCCACTTACAGCGCCGTTATAAATGGGGAAAAAGATTTGTAGTGCTGACCTTTTATCGGGACTTGTTTTCAGGATCGTCTACAGAAATCATTTTTCTGCTGCTCATCTGACAATTTAAATCCAAATCATCTCCGAAAGAACAGCCATTGTTTTTCATTTAGTTCAGCAGCTAAGCTGCTCTTTATATATCTTCCGTGTTTACTTCTTTTACTGAATGTTTCCTGCCCACCTCCTGGAGAAGCAGGAAGCGTGGAGAGCGCGCAGCTGAGGGGCTGGGTTTGTATTCAAGGAGAGAGAAGGAGGGGGCCACGTGGAAGAAAGAAGAGCAGGCAGATTTTCAAGTATAATTTTGTTTATATGGAAATAGTCTCATCTTATATCACAAAAAAATTATAGCAATATTTTTAAAATATCAAGATATCACCCAGTTCTGTTCCCAACTGAAACATCTGGTTAGTGAATTGTGTGGGTTGTAGGATTACCATCGTCTAAAATAGCTGTAACAGTCGTCTCGGTGAAGTCACAGGCTTCCTGCTCAATGGTTTCTGTCGTGTCAGTGGGGACCCCAGCTGATCCTGAAACTGGGGGGTGGCTGCTGGAAGCAGGAAGTCCAGAGCTGCTGGCTTGTTCCGATACTGCCTCAGACTCTGACGATGGCTTCGTCCACTGGAGAGCATTCTTCTACAAAGAACCAACAGCACAGAACAGAGCAGAAGCTTTTAAAGAGTGGCACTTCCTGCTGAAGCACATGCTAGTTAGCTTCAATAAAACATCATAAACAGGTGGGATAATAAAATGCTGCTTGAGGAGGCAGACAGAAATATAGACTGAAAAATAAGTCTCAAGCAATTAGTCCTTGTACAAAGACTAGAAGTCAGGGCTTCAAAATGACTGAACCATGAGCTGCAGAAGGTTCTGATGGCCTAACACTTCAACAAGGTATAGGCAAGAGATATGAAAAGTAAAAAAAATAAATTAAATAAATTAAATTCCTGTGCTGAAGAGGGTATTTGAGCTAAAATCTAAATCTGAGGAAGCCTGAGAGTCAGTGCACTCTCTGTATTTTGGGGTTATCTGAGAGAAAACCCAAAGTCCTACATCAGTGAGACGCTGCATAAAGGAAAACAAAATGCCAACATTTGGACGTTGAATTTGTGCACATGCCAAACAAAATTGTTGGAGAAGAGTGTGTTCGCAAAATATTTTACACAATTTTTAGACAGTTCAAAAGTTAGCATGAGACAATAATTACAGTGGTGCTTGAATGTTTGTGAACTCTTTATAATTTTCTATATTTCTGCATAAATATGACCTAAATCAGATTTTCACACAAGTCCTAAAAGTAGATAAAGAGAACCCAGTTAAACAAATGAGACAAAAATATCATACTTGGTCATTTTATTGAGGAAACCTTTGCTTTCAGTATTTGGTGTATGTAGTATGAGGCCGAGTTCACTACATACATGTATGGTGTATGTATCTATCTATGCATCTACCATATCTATCTACCATATCTATCTATCTACCATATCTACCTATCTATCTATCTATCTATCTATCTATCTATCTATCTATCTATCTATCTATCTATCTATCTATCTACCTATCTACCTACCTACCTACCTACCTACCTACCTACCTACCTACCTACCTACCTACCCACCCACCCATCCATCCATCCATCCATCTATCTACCATATCTACCATATCTATCTACCTATCTACCCATCGATGAGTGGTGAAGGCTGCACAGAAATCTGTCGGAATCAGTCTCCCCACCATCACAGACATCTACACCTCCAGATGCAGGAAGAGGGCCACCTGCATCATGAAGGACCCCACCCACCCAGCACACACACTTTTTGCCCCACTCCCCTCAGGAAGGAGGTTAAGGAGCATTAAGTGTAGAACCACTAGACTGAGGAACAGCTTCTACCCTGAGGCTGTTAGACTCATGAATCTCTAACTAGAATAATCACTGTGAAAAACCATATCATGTTGCTGCTGATCTGTTTCATGTTGCTGCTGATCTGTTTCAATGTTGATGTGTTCATGCGTGCACATCTGCTCACAGACTCATGTTCATGTTTGTGCTGATGTTCAATGTTTTATGTTATGAGTGCTTAGTGTATATTTAGTTGATGTTTTTCTTAGTTCATATCTTAGATGTTATTACTGTTTTTCTTATACATTTTATTGTTGGATGTAACTGGGACCCTGCATACATAATTTCGCTCCACCACATGTACCACATGAGGTGCGAATGACAATAAAGAAACTCTGACTCTCTGACTCTGATCTATCTATCTATCTATCTATCTATCTATCTATCTATCTATCTATCTATCTATCTATCTATCTATCTATCTATCTATCTATCTATCTGATGATGATCATCTCTCAGTTGAAGATTCAGTGATGCAACTAGAAGATAGCAGATGTGTCTTAGCGCATTTTTTTCCCCTTTCTTTCTTTGCAGAGAAGCAAATACTTCAGACAAACAATGCATTTCATTGAGGAAGACAAAGATAATGTTACTAACACTGATATATATTTATCGCTACATTACATTTATTGTTCTGAATTAGGCCTGTTGCGATAAACAATAAATCAATTAATCGTATGATGAATGAAAATTATCGACCTCGTTTTCATTTATCAGCTTTATCGTTTCTTCGTGTCTCTCTCTTTCTACAGAAGGCAAGGCTCAACTACGGTGCTCTTCACTGACCCCTCCCTTTCTCTTTTCTCTTTAAAATCTGTTTTAACCATCCAAAATCGCATTTTTGGATTGTTAAAAGCATCTAAGCTGTGACGCTAATCTACGAGCTAAACTAACAGGCCGACCTCGGGAATAAACCGCTGTCTTGTCGAAGCTCCAAAATTCATGGTTGAAACCCGTGCCTTTGTGTAAAAAGTTGTTTTTCTCTGCAAAAAAAGCTGAGAACTTGTTTAATGATTTTTTAATTAAAAGCTTTGTGTGAAAAATGCTATGCTAAAGAGCTCAAACCACCGAGCGTCCGCCATGTCAGCCCATGTCATGTCAAGGGCCTTCCCTCCCATTTTTCTTAAAGAAACACACTGCTCAACTATCCATCTTTTGGTTCAAACAGTCTTATACTGCCATGAGGTGGTCAACAAAGGTACTACATGCAAAACAAATCAACATTTTTTTCTAAAATTTGACAATTAATTATTGTTAAATTTCAAACAATATTATCGTTTATCGCAATAATTTCTGAGACAATTAATCGCCCAGCAAAATTTGTTATCGTGACAGGCCTATTCTGATTAAAGTTTTACATGGCAATAGCCTTTACTAGGTTATCTAAACGTTTGCTTGCTAGATTAAGGATTATTGAGCATGGACTTTGTCGTTTGCTTGCTAACTTGAGAGGCACGTTGCTAATGACAAGTGAGTTAGAGGATTGAAGAGAATTTATTATTGTTGATTTGTTTTACAGATCCATCCATCATCTTTTACCCGCTTCTTCCTTTTTGGGTCGCGGTGCCCACTGATGCCCATATCCAGTCATCACTGTGTGAGAGGCTGGGGACACCCTAGACAGAACTCCAGTCCATCCATCACAGGGCCACATAGAGATAAACAAGACAAAAACATTCACTCTCACACATCTAGGGACAATTTTAGAGTTTCCAATCAGCCTAACATGCATGTTTTTAGTCTGTGGGAGGAAACCAGAGTACCCCGAGAAAACCCACATATTCACGGAGAGAACATGCAAACTCCACCAGAAAGGCCCCTGGACTGGGATTTGAACCAGGGTAACCTGCTCGCTGAGAGGCAGCAGCTCTACCAGTTGCGCCACCATGAAAATACCATGCCCTGTTCAGCAAAATACACTAAACAGTATTGATCCCTGCTTTGTTTGTACTGAAAGTGAAACTTAAGTGAATGACAATGATTTGAAAATAGTCTTCATGTGCTCTCTGCTATACATTGTACAATTATGGCTGGTTCCCAGCATTTGAGGGGTGAAAATTAGAAGTGCTTATATTGGCGCATAATGGGACAATTATCACCGATACCGATAGGTTCCTAAACCTCTATCGGTCGAGCTTTGAGTTTTACTGCCAACAAAAGTCATGGCCTATATTTCTGATCATTTTGATATATAATTTGCATGTTTTATTTTAAAATTGTGTGACAAAATATTTGACAAAGCCTTGGAACTGTGCAGTAATAAGGGTGGATCAGTGCATACGTATTGACTGTCACCTTAGTTCAAAATGAGCAACAGAACAGCTGGTCTGTAGAGTGGAAACACCACATTTAAAAGATGAAGGCAGCATGTTATTCAGAACACCTCCTCTCTGACAAACACTCCCACCACTGTGTTAAGTAAATGACCAAAATCTGAGAGCGAGTACCTTCAGAGTGAAGAGGCTCATTCGTCCAGGGAGCTTAAAGAAGATGCTGTTCTTCACTCTGTCTCCTCTGACCTGGGAGTGCAGCATGGTGACCAGGCAGGCCAGAGGAGCTGTTCCACTGTATACAAACAAACAAACAAAACAGTCAACGAAAGTCAGCACATAGTACTGAGGTACAAGTCTCATTCTGGTGCTTTTAGAACACTAAGAACAATTTACATAACCTGGAGCCATGTGAGAATTATTTTGTTTTAATTTGGGGGATGTGAATGGACCAAAGCAAAAACTTATAAATTGAATGCTCTTCCAGGACTCTGACCAAGAAAACTGCATTGCTAGAATTAGTAGGTCCTAAGCTAACTACTATCATTATCTGCCATGATGTGATGTTCTTTGAACGTTTGAGGCACAAAGTAAAACCAGTTCTCCATTGGTATGTACTACTCTAATCGCTTAGTTTCTATTTGGTTCTACTCAAGTGTGGGCGTGTCTCCTTTGGGAGTATGTCCCTCACTCCGTGGGGAGGCGGTAGTCGAATTTCTTTTTTTTTCTTTTTTTTATTAACTCCATACCTTCGAATGTAGCCGTGGGCGAAGAACTTTCCACACACCTCCCAGTACACTTGTTTGTTCCTTGTTGCTATGTCCAACTCGCGCTATATGCACTCATCAGCCAAAATGGATAAAAAGGTTTGCACCTCATGACTGGTCCATGGTATTACATGGGATTTGCAGCTTGCCATCTATATCTCGGGAAAGTACGTTCTGCAACAATTGGATTGAAAATGGCACTTCAGGAGGAGTTTGCAAGTATAGCCATGGTTTATCCAGTGATGTCAATCCGCAAGCCAATCAACAGCTGCAGACTGTCGACGTCAAAAATCACGTGGGTGTCTCGCTTGGAACAACGGCTGAGGCGAGTCTACAAACCAAGCGGAACAGGTGATGAATACACAATTGGCTGAGGCTGACGATGCAAACTGATTAAAGCCATGCCCATTGAGAATCAGCTTAAGTGTGACTCCTGGAACACCTTCTGCTGAAGGCTTGTAAGATTCTTTAAAAATCAAACCAAAATCCCTCAACACAGCTCAACTACTGACAGCTACTTTGTTGCTGCTGTCATTTGTGAATGTCAGTGCATCAGTGAGCAACATTAGGTTGGGCTTGGGCCAAATGCTCTGCACTGAACCATGGTACACAGTGTTGTTGTCAAGTGTTACTACAATGTTTAAATAGGGGTGCACCGGCCCCGATTTCCTTAATTTTGGAAAATCGGAGATAGGTCAATACTTGGATGAGAAACCAATTTTACTGATTTTTTGTAGTTTTAACAACAATTGTCTAAACTTCATTTATATTTCAGAGCACTACCTCATGGCCAGTTAAAACAAGTTTGTATTGTTTCTAGGATATTGTTCAAGGGTATATTTTTCAATAAAATAAAATTGGAAAATTGAAGGTGCATTGTGACTTTATAACACCTGACAGTGTCGCTTATAAAACAAACTCTGTATCGGCCAAAATCGGAATCAGCAGTTCAGACTTTTAGAGACTGATGATCGACCAGACAACTGCAATTCAGTGCACCCCTAGTTTAAATGGCTAGGGAAAAACAAGTAACCAAATGTTTAATATTGGGAGTCAAAATACCCCCCCCCCCCCGGAATACCCCAGAATAAATTAGTATTAGTATTGTCCAATCACAGTGATCTGATGGTGTGAAAGTCAACACATAGGTCCTAATACCAATCAAAGCCAACACGTAGGCCCCGAAACCCATCAAAGCAACATGTAGGCCACGAAACCCATCAAAGCAACACGTAGGCCCTAACCATCAAAGCAACACGTAGGCCCTAAAACCCATCAAAGCAACACGTAGGCCCTAAAACCCAACAAAGCAACAGGTAGGCCCTAAAACCCAACAAAGCAACAGGTAGGCCCTAAAACCCAACAAAGCAACATGTAGGCCCTAAAACCCAACAAAGCAACACGTAGGCCCTAAAACCCAACAAAGCAACACGTAGGCCCTAAAACCCATCAAAGCAACACGTAGGCCCTAAAACCAATCAAAGCCAACATGCACATCCCAGTACTCAAAGCAACATGTCGGCCCTAATACCCATTAAAGCCAACACACAGGGCCTAATAGCCTTTAAAGCAAAACATAAGTTCTAAAAACCATCAATGCAGCACTTAGGTCCTAATAACCATCAAAGCCAACTGCCATACAAGAGATATGTTTATGCATTGGGCAAAACATGAATAGTGATGCAAAAAATTTAAACAATGTGTAACTGCACTGGTCTCAAAAATGCACGCTTCATACTTAGGCCTGTCGCAATAAACAATACAATTAATCGCATGATGAATAAAAATTCAATTCAATTCAAAAATACTTTATTAATCCCAAAGGGAAATTATTTAACTCATTAACTAATTATCAACCTCATTTTCATTTACCGGCTTTATCGTTTCTTCGTGTCTCTCTTTCTACTGAAGACACTGGATGATAAAAAGGCTCAACTCCGATGCTCTTCACTGACCCCTCCCTTTCTCTTTAAAATCCGTTTTAACCATCCAAAATCGTGTTTTTGGATCATTAAAAGCTGCTAAGCTGAGAAGCTGAGCTAACAGGCCGACCTCAGGAATAAACCTCCATCTTGTCGAGCTCCAAAATTCATGGCTGAAACCCGTGCCTTTGTGTAAAAAGTTGTTTTTCTCTGCAAAATGAAGCTGAGAACTTGTTTACTAATTTTTTATTAAAAACTATGTGTGAGACATGCTATGCTGCTCGACTAGGCATCCTTTGGTTCAAACAGTCTTACACCTTCATCATGTGGTCAAAAAAAGTACTACACTCCAAAGAAATCAACATTTATTCTAAAATTTGACAATTAATGTTAAATTTCAAACAATATTATCGTTTATCGCAATAAGTTCTGAGACAATTAATCGCCCAGCAAAACGTGTTATCAAGACAGGCCTATTCATACTGATGTCCAGTTCCTTTATTCCACTCTAGATCCACATAACACCATGAAAACTATATAAAAAAATACAATGCATCTTTAAGCATAAACTTCCATAAGTAACATATAATACTGACTTCTTTTTTTTTCTCTCGCAGTATTATTGTATACAAGGCTTAACAATATAACTTTACAGTTATTAACATTACCGTGTTGGCAAGATAAAGATCAGTTGCAGAAATTTGAGGGAGCCTCTGCGCTGTCCTGTCCGTCTGGCTTATTTTACATTCAGTCCCGCTTCGCTCTTATGTGTTTCAGACAAATCATTTAAACTCAATAAACCCACATGAATTCTAAGAAACATGTTGCAAACATCTGACGTACCTGAATATAGAATATTGCTCAAAGAAGTAAATATGTTTTGACCACGGGAAAACAGTGTCTTTCCAATTTCTGGGTTGCCATGGCAATAAGAAACGGCAGTTAAGCACACATTACACAAGGAACTAAGTGCATTGCAATGAATTGTATAAACTAGGACGACACATTTGCAACAAAAGGTAAAAGATTACATTTCACAGGTAAATATCATTTATCCAAAATAAATGATTCAGTGCCCTCTAGAGCTAGTCTCAGAATTGCAATATTGATCATTTTTGTTTCCAACAACATCCACTAGATGTGAGACACACATTTCTATGATTCTAACCCAACATTTATGTATGTTTAGATGTAAAATGTTGGACTGATAACACCAGAAGAAAACAAACAAGGAGCACTGAACCAGTGACGGTATTTAGCTTCACGGACACACTCACATGTGTTTCAGATGAACTGAAAGAAAGTTTAGAAAAAGTTTCTCACAAAGGATGAATTCTTTTATGAAATCTTTGCTGATAAAGATAATGTAATGATCGAGCTGCACGGTGCATGTCACAAACATAGAATACCGCCCCTGTCAAGTGTTTGTTAGGCCAGTTTATTCAGTGAAGTTATGTTTTCCTGCACCCAATATATGTGTTACATAAACTTAAATTAGGAGAAAATGCCTCGTCACGTCCAGCAGTAATTTAATTTACTGCTAACTGGTTTAAACCCTGATATAGACAAGTTAGGACTGAGGACTCTGTGCCGGGCGGGACACTGATATCCAGTTGATGAGCATACAGACATGTATAAGGTATGTCCCACTCCTGATCCAAGGGACAAGTCAGTTTCAATTGTTAGAATATATTCCATTGATTAAAAAAAATAATAATAATTTAAAAAAATCACACATTGGATGTATAGGCTTTATTAAAAGGTAAATGAGAATGTATTATAAACTCTTTTCTACATTCTGAGCAACTTTCCTGAAAATCAGTTGACCCAAAATTGTTGTTGAAGCCAGGAATCAGGATAATCTTAAGAGAAACTGGCATAGATTTTATTTCACTAAAACTACCAATACGTTTCTATTTCTCAACTAATTTTAACTGAGTTGGTTCCATTTAATTTTGCTATTTTAGCTGCATCCAATAAAATGGGTGTTATTACAATTTGGGAACTTTGATAATGCAAAGACCATGCCGTGAATCACAAAATTAATAAGCAATGCTTACTTTATGCCACTATTATTATTATTTTTGTTAGTTATTTTCAGTGTCTACAATTCAGAACAGTTGTAAATTCTTCAGCTTTATTTTGAACCAGACATAAAATGACACTTGCGTGTGCACTTTGCACAGCAACCGACCACGTACAATCTAGGGAAAAAAATGCATGTGCGCGCAGGGAGGTATCGGAGACATGTCTGTGTTGCATGCCGTTTGTACGGATAGTTTGAGCGGGGCTGGGGGGGTGGACACAGCTCAGCGTGAGGGAAATGGAGCTAACGCATCTGTATTACGCAACAATAGCTTAGTGCTACATCAGTTGTGTGTGTGTGTGTGGGGGGAGGGGGGTCCGGTAGGCAGGGCGCTTGGTTCTGTTGACAGGGCAGGGCACCATGCTTCAATACTGGTAGGGGAAACACTGCTGGAGGGGATCTGTACGGAGGAGTGGGCCAAAATTGTTGCTGCAGTGTGCAAACTTGGGTCAAGAACTACAAGCAACGTCTGACCTCTAACTGCAAACAAAGTTTTCTGTACCAAATATTAAGTTCCGTTTTTCTATTGGATCAAATGCTTATTTCATGCAATAAAATGCAAAGTGATTATTTTAAAACCATACAATGTGATTTTCTGGATTTTTTTTTTCAACTTACCTTCTGTTTAGAGTTGACAACAAGCCAGAGTTCATGGAAAGAGAAAACAAAGTTATTTAGGAAATACAGTGGATGAAGCTTTGCATCTGCCTGTAAAACATACTAAAATATCAAGATTTAAATAACTCATGGAACAACATAGCATTCAATACAACAGTTTTATGTACTAGTTATGAAAACTAGGTGTAGGTTAATATGTCAAGCACTTTTATTTTACAAAAAAGACAATGTTTCTATACTTTCTGGTGAAACTCACAGCCAATGAGCTTCAGGCCACAGCTCCTAAAAGCAACATCTGCAACAGAGGCCCTGAACATGGCCCAATCCGAGTCCATGACCCCAAGCTCAGATGAGATCTTTTAACTGTCCACAAAGTTGAACAGTTGAAGATCTCACAAACAATATGGAAAATAAATAAATCAGAATTCAAGAGTTCTAGCAGTATCTCTACATCAGTAATGCTGCAGGTTTTAGCAAAAAAACTTGAGTCAGGAAACACAGCTGCAGTGAGCTGCTTGATGAGACCAACATCAGCTGGCTGATGTCATGGAAACAACAACGATAACACGTTGCGTTATCGTGTTGTTGATGTTTACAAAGTGTTTACTGCACCCACGTGGACAAACACCAAGTTGAGACTTAAGGCTGGATTTGGACTTCCACAAGACGTGAGATGGCAGATCTCTCGTTATGCAGTCTCAGACGTCATACTAAACTTCCGGTTAGATGGCGCCCGTGTACATGGCTTGCAATCCAACTCTGCTGATGGTGTTTGGATTATTTTTGTTTTGTTCGTTTTTTATCTGTGGCATGAATTCACTCCTGATGTATAACAGACAACAGCTTCTGGATCTTTGTTTTTCTGTCACTGATATCGCTTATTTGGACCATTATCAGCGTACCTCTGGACACCCCCCCCCTCCTCCCCCCCTGCTGGCGGACGTGCCAGTTTACCTCCACTGGGCTCCTCACCTCCATGCCTGGAGATCTCGCTTCAGACGCCGGGGAAAACGTGCTGGTCAGCTGGTGAAGCTTAAAGCTCTGCGCGCTGCATCTTCCTGTCCAGCTGGTGGTCATTGTTTCCATCGCCAGCTTCCCGCGTGCCCGGACCAGGTAAACAACGGGAGTTGTCGGCCGATGCACCGCTCGGACTGACCTGGAGGGGCTGTTATTGAAAATCTGAGGGCACTGATGCGCGCTAACTCCACCGCTGCTGGCTCCACTTCGGACAGTATCCGGATGAGTTTGGTCAACGCAAGATCCGTTACCAACAAAACTTTTATCCTCAGGGACTACTTTCAAGAGCACGAGTTAAACTTTTTCTGCATCACAGAGACTTGGATGTCTCCGGGTGAGTCCAGCGCCTTGACGGAATTATTGCCACCGAACTGTCTGTATTTTACCGCACCGCGGCCATCAGGCCGGCGCGGTGGTGGATTATTAACAATATTCAAATCAACTTTTGACAGTAAACAACTGTCCATCCCAGTTTCCCGCGCCAGCTTTGAGCTTTTAACTCGGACATTCACCTCAGACTTTATTTGCACTCGTTTACCGTCCACCTCGGTCTAAGGATTTCATAAATGAGATTTCTGACTTCTTTGCTGAAATCACACCAAAATATGAGCATGTTTTCATTATTGGGGACTTTAATTTGCACGTGTGCTTTCAGGAGAAGCCCTTGGTTAAGGACTTTTTAGATTTATTGGACTCATTTAATTTAACTCAGCATGTAAACTGTCCCACCCAAAAGCGTGGACATACACTGGACCTTGTTTTAACTCAGCATGTAAACTGTCCCACCCAAAAGCGTGGACATACACTGGACCTTGTTTTAACTCAGCCCCCAGTGTTTCTCATCACCACTGAGGAGCTGACATCCCAGTTCAACTCTGTCTGCTTAAAGATTCTGGATCATGTTGCGCCTGTTAAAACCAAAAAAATCAAAACTCAGAGCAGAACCTTGGCTGAGTGACGTCACCAAGGCCGCTAGGAAGCAATGTAGGAGGGCGGAACGAAAGTGGAGGAAAGACAGGCTGCAGGTCTCTTTTCAAATACTTAGAGTTGGCGCCGTTATCAGAAAGCAGTGAAAGCTGCTAAATCCAAATACTTTTCTGATATAATTACCTCAAACTCTCGCAACCCATGTGTCCTCTTCTCCACCCTAAACTCTGTTCTCCACCTCACTGAACCATCACCACTGGAAGCCTCAACTGAGCTGTGCGACAACTTCTTACTGAAGCCCATATTGTCCAAAAATAACCTGGAGACAGTAATACATGCATTAATTACATCTAGGCTTGATTACTGCAATTCGCTCCTGTTTGGTATCAGTCAGACCTCCATTGCACGACTACAACTGGTCCAGAATGCAGCAGCCTGATTTTTAACCAGTACAGGCAAAAGAGAGCACATTACACCAGTTTTGGCCTCACTGCACTGGTTACCAGTTCACTTTCGAATCCAGTTCAAAATACTCATGTATGTCTACAAATCACTGAACAGTGTCGCGCCGCACCCCCCAATCTCTCTGATCTGCTACAACCGTATGTCCCACCGCGTTCCTTGAGGTCAGCGGACCAGTTGCTCCTCACAGTTCCAGGATCTCGTCTTAAGCGCAGAGGGGACAGGGCCTTATCTGTAGCAGGACCAAGACTTTGGAACGAGTTACCTCTGCTTGTCAGACAGGCCCCCTCCCTCTCTGTTTTCAAGTCCCATTTAAAAACCCACTACTATTCAATAGCTTTCAACACCAGATGATCTGTGTTTTGATCCTGTATGCTCCACACTGGTTTGTCATCATTATCTGCATCGTTTTTATGTCTACATTCTGATTTACCTCATTTTGTATTTTGCTTTGTGTGTTACCTGTTGTTTTGTCTGTACAGCACTTTGGTTGGCCTTGTTGCTGTTTTAAGTGCTCTATAAATAAAGTGGTATGGTCATAATCTGCCGGAGTGTTTATAGTCAAAGAGAAGATGCTGGGGATAAAATATAATTCCTCCCACTGTAGCACACGTCACTTGCATAGGTAAGCAAATAAGCCAGTCGAAGGCGACCCACCAAAGACGTTCCAAGGCAGAAAGAGCTGTACAGTGACCTTCTCAATAACAGGTGGCAAATTCGCCGCTTACTCTTGACGACTTTTCGACCCTTTGGAGACGATCAACGCGCCGATGCGTTATAGTCACATGACCGATGTCAGTCGCTCTAGCAGAAAAGGCACACAACCTTTTAGAGACTCCATTTTAATTTGTTTCGAAAGTACAGATTTTAAGCTACACGACAGTTTTTAAAATTGAGCTGATAGGCCAAGTAAAACCAGAGTTGTGATAAATAATCCACAACGCACCTTTGTCTAAAAATCATCATCTTATCTGAAGCACGTTAGAGCGAGAGGCTGCAGCAAAAATTAGCAGTCTCAGGGATAAAACACCCCATCACCCTCCGCTTTCATCTCCCATCCCCACCGAATGGATAAACAACGTCCCCCCTCCTTTCTGACAGAGGCTCAAAGTTATTTGTCAAGCGCAAAAAAATCTACAGGAAGAAGAAAAAGACGTGGAAGTTGAATGGAGTTTGGCGCACTAAAGTCAGCAACAGCGAGAGTGAGTTAGAGATTTGTGAAATTTAGCGTATTTGGGTTTTAAAGTTAGGGTGCAGTTTAGTGGGTTTAGGGATTAGTTTAGTCAGTTTTAGTGTGTTTGAGTAAAAACAATGAAACGATTTTGGAACGTGATGCAGAGCTGCGGACCCAGAGGCCGACGGAACCACCAAATCAGAACCTCTCAGACAGAGATCATGAAGGAGAAAACTAGCCTGAGTCAGACGGAGAGGACTTTATTGATGAAGAGGGTGATCATTTGTTTTAGAAGAGAAGAGAGCACCAAGCCCCACTAGGAAGTCTGACTCTGCATAGAGGAGGGGGTCCAGAACCCCTCTGACGAGAAGGGGGTCTCTGCAGACCAAAAGTGGGCGTTTCTGGCGAATAGGCGTTTATGGGCGGCGAACACTGATTGGCTAACAGTATTTAATAGGCGTTTGTCGGCGGCGAACACTGTGTCTCAGAAATCCTTCCGAGATGAGGCACATTTTCTGTGGTTGGATAGTACGTTATCTAAAATGTATATTTTTACATGTTTTTTCATCTTGTTGCTGTACTCACATTTAACACAAAAATCTGGGACAGATGATACTCCTGGAAATTACAAATCGATTGCTTTAACTTTGATGTGTACATTGATGGTAAAATATCAAAATTAAGTTTTGGTATTAATTTTGAATAGATTGGGGAAGGAAAACAGCCCAGGTCGTGCAGAACTGCTATTTTGTAAAAATGTTGTGCTTGGTGATCTAATTATATTTTTATTACAACTTCAGGTGTTGTGAACTGGAGGAAATATTCTAAAGAATTTCAGGCTGAGCACAGAAAGCCTTATGTCATTTCTGTATGCTTCAGCTGTGGAGAAGAATTTAAAGATTGTGGTGCAGGTTTCTGGGGCAGTGGCAAAAGAGGAGAGCTGAGGGCCTTCTACAGTGAAGCCATTACTCCTGGGTACTGCACCCACTTTTGTGCCATGGATGCAGGGTTAGTAGTCTAGCTTCTGTACTGTGATGCCCACACATTACAATAAGTAACAACTAGCAACACCCTAACTGTACTATGTTTTGTGTTTCCAACAGATGCTACGATGACTTCTAAAAATGGATGTCCCAATAAACAATAAAAAAAAATTCAATGATGCATCAAATGTTGTCTGAGTATGTTTTAAGGTAATAACAAATGTGAAATCTGGAAAACAAAGACAATTCCTGAATCTGTCTTGTGTGCTTTGATGTGTACATAAGTTTATTGGAGGTCCTGAAACAACTTTTCTGAGAACACAAAGATTTTTATTTTACCTTTGGCCAAGATGTCAGTTTGAAATCAGGCTGCTTACTGCAAAACCAAGAGGTTTTTTAAGACAGACAGTCTTCATTTGTATTGTTTTGTCGACTAAGCTAAATGTAATTTCTAAAATATGGATAAATCTGATCTCATCATGCAGCATGAGCAACTGGGTACAGGTGTGAGGGCCAAAAGTCTGGTTATGTACGGACTCCTAAATGTGCTGGTTTTCTACTGAAACATGGAGTAGGGTTGACCTTTAAAATGTGAGACAGCTGAGGAAGTTAACCAGTAAACAGAAATACCTGCTCCAGTTGCAGAAATCTTACAGAAACTGACAATCACTCATCTGCAGTGACTGCAGGTTGAACAAGAAAATGTGAAGTTAAAGGAAACCTCCTTTGTCCCAAGGCCAGTTTAAGTATCATTAATATTTTTCTTTCTTTATGAATCGATTGTAACTTTGTTCACATTTTTCAACAACCAAAATGGAATTTGTTTTTTTAATGTTATGGCTAGGTATTAAAAAAAAACCTAACATTTAGCTCTCCCCACTACCCAGTTATGTTGCTCTTATTTTGAAATGTAACCGGAAGTTCTGTGTTAAGAGAGTCGAAAAAAGAAGTTATGGAGACGCCGCGGCAGTATACTGGAGCGATGTCGAACCGAGACGCCGCTAATGTCGAACCGGTTAACACCATAGACATAATATGCCTGTGGTTAACACAATCTGCCAATAACGCCTTGTTTTTAGACATCATGTGTCTGTGGTTACGGCATTTTATCGTTCAGCCTTTTTTTTTCTATCGTTCAGCCTTTTTTTTTTTATCGTCCAATCAGATGTGGCCGTCCAGACACGCCCATTTTTCTATTGTCCAATCAGATGTGGCCGTCCAGACACGCCCATTTTTCTATCGTCCAATCAGATCCGGTCGGCCGGAAACGCCCATTTTCCTATCGTCCAATCAGATATGACCGCCCAGATACGCCCACTTTCCTATAGTCCAATCAGATATGAGCGCCCAGATACGCCTTCCGAATTTGCCTGCAGAGACCCCTTCTTGCCTCTGACTGGGCCAACAGAACCAAGCATCAGTTCCGAGCTCTGGAGAACAGGAGGATGTGGATGTTGACCCAGAGGGTGTCCTAATGAATGGAAAATGCTGTTTTTATTTATTACAATAAAATTAATATTTTGTCAATTTAGAAAAAGAAAAAAAAACTGTAGTTTTTAAGCAAAAAAAAAAAAACAACAAGTGTTAAAATAAAATAAAAATCATAAATTAAACAGTTTTATTTGAGGCCAAGACAGCTCTAAAAGACTGAAAAGTTTTTTGTGGAAAAAAATTTAAAACTAGTATTTCCTTGAGGAACATGAATAGTCATAAAGTTAAAGGGTTAAAATCGTCTTACTCAAATGTTCACAATATGATGCTTTTGATGCAGATCAAATTTCATGATCTTGTCTGTAGTTACAGAAGAAGTTTCTGAGCTGCATGCATTCAGCTGGGACAGCTGCAAGATAAATAAACTCATTTTGAATTATCATCCATCCATCCATTTTTTTCCCCGCTTATCCGGGGTCGGGTCGCGGGGGTAGCAGCCTAAGTAGGGAGGCCCAGACTTCCCTCTCCCCAGTCACTTGGTCCAGCTCCTCCAGGGGAATCCCGAGGCGCTCCCAGGCCAGCCGAGAAACATAGTTCCTCCAGAGTGTCCTGGGTCTTCCTCTGGGTCTCCTTCCGGTGGGACGTTTCCGGAACACCTCACCAGGGAGGTGTCCAGGAGGCATCCTAACCAGATGCCCGAGCCACCTCAACTGGCTCCTCTCGACATGGAGAAGTAGTGGCTCTACTCTGAGTCTCTCCCGGATGATCGAGCTTCTCACCCTATCTCTAAGGGAGAGCCCAGACACCCTGCGGAGAAAACTCATTTCGGCCGCTTGTATCCGAGATCTCGTTCTTTCGGTCACAACCCAAAGCTCGTGACCATAGATGAAGGTAGGAACGTAGATCGACAGGTAAATTTGAGAGCTTCGCCTTTTGACTCCGCTCTCTCTTCACCACAACAGACCGATACAGCGCCTGCTTCACTGCCGACGCTGCACCTATCAGACAGTCGATCTCTCGCTCAATTTTTCCCTCATTTGTGAACAAGACCCCAAGATACTTGAACTCCTCCACTTGGGGCAGAACCTCCTCCCCGACATTTTGAATGATTATTCTTGAAAATGTATGCTATCTCGCTCTACAAAATTGATTGACAGCTGTTGCTGATCATGACTTCATAACTGTTTCCATGTTTGTGATGCTGGAAAGACATTTTCATCCGTTATCAGTGTTTGAACAGTCTGCGTTCATCAACATTTTTGCCACACACAACATTCTCATATGGAGTCTGTTGGGAAATTACTCCAGCCGTTAGCTTCCTAGGCAAAAAGTTATTGAGAAGGCTGGACATGTGAAGTGTCAGCCATTGTGTGGTCTGTTCAGCCATCTGGATTTAACATCAGATAGGACATGATGATGCACAGCAACTTTGTATTTAATTCTAAAAATAGTTAACCACACACAGAACTACTAAATTGGGTTAATTACCTCCACCAAGGAGGTTATGTTTTCAGTCACGCTAGTTTGTCTGTCTGTGCACAACATTACTCAAAAAGGTATGAAGGTATTTTAATTAATTTTTCAGTAAATGCTGAGGTTGTCACAAAGAACAAATCATTAATTTTTGGTGGTGAACTGGATCACCATCCGGATACAGGAATTAATTAGGCTTGAGGCAGCTAGCTGTGCTGCTGACAGAGAGTAAGAAAAATCAGACAAAAAAATAAAAAGAAAAGAAAAACATCATGCCTCGCTCTAGGTATACAACCGTCGATCTACAGAGAATGCAGAATGTATGAAGAATGTACTGTAAGTGTGAAAGAGACAACTAAGGCCACTGCAGCTCATCGCAATGGCTACGTTACTGTGTGAGAGTCTTGGAGGAGGGGTGCGCTCTCAGAGTGCTTCTAGTTCATAATGTTTTATTTATTTATTTATTAACATTTATTTAACCAGGAAAATCCCATTGAGATCACAGATCTCTTTTGCAAGATGAGTCACACGTCGAATGCGTTGCACTACACGTCAAAGCAGCAGAAAACAGATCCACACCTATTTTTGTTTCATCGTGCTTGCCTTGGTTCTAAATGCAGCGTTTCCCCTACCATTATTCAAGGAGGGCGCACCGCCCTGTCAACAGAACCGAGCACCCCGCCTGCCAAATTCCCCATCCCCCACTCTGCTCCACCACTTCCGGACGGGAAGCGGAGATTAGCAGCTCAGCTCAGACTTCGAACTGCGCGCACAATACAAAAGTAGCGCTCTGCTAACCCCCCACCGACATTTGCTGGCAGTAATGTAGCGCTAAGCTAGTGCGCAATACAGATGTAGCGGTTCGCTTGTGAATAAATGTCTGAAACCCTGAAGGATTATAAATTAGATTAGAGTTGGTGACAGCAGCAGCTCAATGTGATTACAGGCACTTACGTCTAGTGGACATAAGCCATAAGTACTGACTAAAATAATAAATCCAACTAGTTAATGTTAATTCATTTTTGTCTGTCAATGGTTTGCCAAGTCTATGTGACGGTTTGTGTACCAGCAAAACTGTGTGAGTGTGTGCGAGTGTGTTTGACCTCATCTCTTTCAGCCCCTTGGTCTGGATGACATGGAGGATTTGTTTGGGGGTCATCGGTGCATCAGAGAAATTCTCTAGAACCTGCAACACAAAGGTTTGGTCAGGTTCAGAAACTCAGTAACAAACATTACATTTCTGTCCACACAAAAGGCTGAACTCTCCTGCTACCCTTGGATCAAAATGATGCACAAGACCTCAGTGTTAAAAGGAATAGTCTGGGCATGTTTTTAGCAGATGTGTCAGATACTTACCAATAGTTAGTACCTTATCAGTCAGCCGTGACATCAGCCATAGAAATCTGATTATAGAGAAAAGGGCAGTCTTCATCAAGGCTAACTAATACTCTCCACAACTCCATGAGGGGAAGAAACCGAGTTTGAGTCTGTTTGTGTGGGCTTGCATGATTCTGAGACCTTTGGGGAGGACGCTTGTGATTAGTGTCCTGGGTGGGTGGGGACATTGCAGATCTTTGTGGCTCCCCGTTACATGCAACTTTTTAACTCCAGTAGCTTGATTTGAGAAAGAGTTGCTTTATGAACCTGAAAACTATAAATGGCAAATAGACTGTGCTTATACAGTGTCCTATATAATCAAGATACGCAAAGCACTTTACAATCTGTGCCCTCATTTACCAATCTCCACACACACATTCATACAGCACTCTACTAGATCTCTACAAAGCTACTCGAACAAATCATTCTAAAGAGATTGATCAGTATTTTTAGATCACATTCATACATTGATGGGACACACATCAGAGACAATGAGGGGTTCAGTGTCTTGTCCAGGGACGTCACACTTCAATATGTGACTGCTGGTGGAATCGAACCTCCAACTATCCCATTGGAGGACGACTGCTCTAACCACTCAGCCACAGCTGCCCTATAAACAATGAGCCCTTGTTCAGCAAATAGGCTAGCTTGGAAAAAGGTGTCTGCCTCTTTCTTAATGCTCTTTGACTGATGTAACAACTGATGAGGTACTAACGTTTGCTCACTATTTGACAGAATGTGACTTGAAAAATAGAATATTCTTTTAATGGCAACTCCAACATATTTTCATAATTAAATAAAAAGAAATAGTCAACAAATGCATTGTCTACATGGTCTACATGGAAAAGAGAGCTCTGTACTCCTTCAAGGAAACAAAACTGAACCACAGGTTCTGATGTGTGGATGGTACCTGGGTCAAAATCCAAGCTCAGTAGATTTTCCAGACATCTATTTTGTGGACAACATCCATTTCAGCAGAGAGGATGCCAACAACAACAAGCTGCCATGTTTAAACTGTTTAGTGAAAAGAGATGGAAGCCTCAACATTGAAGTTTACAGGAAGCCAACCCAGATGGGTTCTGTTTGAATATCACCACCCATTGGAACACAAACTTCTGTCATCAGAACTTTAAGCCATCGGGCCGAACATGTCCCCACAAAGACAGAACCAGTGTTTGCCCTACCGTTGTCCCAAGGAGGACATCTCGCCCTGTCAACAGAACCGAGCAACCTGCCTACCAAAATGTCCTTAACCCACAACTTCCCCCCGCTCCCCCCGATCGACAACTGCCGGCACTAACGTAGCGCTAAGCTAGCAAGCAACACTGACACGACTGTCTCCACTCCCCCCCCATCCCCACCAGTCAACAAAAACCATCGAAGAGATGAGTGCCCAAGGCAAGTGATAAAGGAAACACTGTAAACACATCTCTCCAAACCTGTGGATTTCCTAACTGGGCCTTTGTCAAATCATTGAAGAAATCTAAAAATAAAAATTTAAAAATAAAAACACACCACAGAACAGGGAGGAGAACAAGGATCATCCCACATATTGCTGGAGGATCTGAGAAACATAGAAGAATTTTCTCCAAAACACAACATCCCAGTACATTTTAAACCCAACAGGACTCTCGGACAGAGGCCGGTCAATTGCAAGAACAGAACCCTGTCTGCAAGAATGATCAGACTTCTGTATTGGAGAAAGTGAACAACCTCTCCACAGACACATGGCTCAACACTGGAGAGCAGCTCTTCAGGACAAAACCCAGCTGTCCACCTACACCTCAAGGACAAGGGACACTCTGCTGAGTACCAACAGGTCCATATTTTAGACGAAGAAGACAGATAATTTGAGAGAGGTAAACAGGAAAACAAACAGCTTGATGTCTATTCATTTTTTCTCTAATTCACATATGTGACCAAAGCATCTTGTTAACCTGGCAAACAAAAGGAGCATCTCCTGCACTTATTAAAAAAAAAAAAAACACTTTAGATTTTAAAGCTCCCTGAATGGGGAGCAAATTGTCTTCCACCAACTGCATAGCTATTCAACTCAGTTTATAAGGGCAATTAGTGAAAGCTATTCATGTAAGGAAGCTGCAGATTGTATTGAATCTCCACTTCACACAGGTGACAGTGGAAAGGAAAAAGTCCCAAGAAACATTCAGCAGAACCAGAACCGGGCTCAGGATAAGCAGGCTCTGAGGAAAGAGGGGACACAAAAGAAACACACAAACACAGAACGACTGGTCCAGGTGCATTTTCTATAGCAAGCAAAACGTGTTAGAAATATTTCTAAATACAAACATGGTCAGCAGAACAAGTAAATACATCAAGAGTGTGAGAAGATGTGGTCAGTTTGTTTTCCAACAGTCGAATCCTATAGCAGCAGAATTAAGGTATAGCTCAGGAAACCTAAGCTGACCCTACCTATAGGCTTGTTCAAAAAGGAAAGTCTTCAGCCTAGTCTTAAAAGTAGACAGTGTCAGCCTCAGGAACTGGAAGCTCTGCATCATTTGGGACAAGATGCTTCAAATTTTAATAATATTGTTCAGGTAGAAGAAAGTGATCCAGTTATTGGGTTCGATGAGTCCTAGATGACTGAGAATCTACGCCAGCATACTTCTACCAGTACAACGAGGACGGAGTGGGAAAAGAATGCAACTAGAACCTGAAAAAAGTGAACACATCGTGCCATCAGTCCAACATGCACTGAACAAAGATAACGATGTTTGCTTTACAAACCTGACTTAGACTGAGGATTTGTAAAAGTTTTGAAATCTCATTAGATTCAACTTTTTTGTCATTGTGCAGCGTACATGTACAGAGCCATTAATGCAGTTAGCATCTAACCAGAAGTGCAAAATATAGTATTACTACCAATTATTTGCAGGGGCCGAGATGGTGTAGGGACAGGGCAGCCAACTCAGCACCAGAAGGTCCTGGGCTCGATCCCCGGTCATTGCACATCTCGTGGTGTCTCTGAGCAGGACACCTAATCCCAAATTGCTCCCCGGGCACCTTCCATAGCTGCCCACCGCTCCACCCAGGTGTATCTCAGGTGCGATGGGTTAAATGCTTGAGCCAATTTCATCTTTGTATGAGAACATACAAAGATGACAACACTAGGCACTTTATTTATAAAGTGTGGTGAGTGGTGGCGCAGAGATTAGAGAAGGTGGGCCTGTGATCGGAAGATCGCAGGTTCAACTCGCGGTATGACAACATCAAAATGTGGGTGGGATAGGTGAATCACCCACACCTGCCTCCACCCTCATTTGCCCACTCTGAGCCCTTGAGCAAGGCCCTTAACCCCCACCATCTACTCCCCTGGAGCCCCAGACAGCAGCTCTCTGCTCCACACAGAGGGCTGTGGTAGCTCGGTGGTCTGTGGTTGCGTCAGGAAGGGCATCCGGTGTAAAAATAATTGCCAAGTCTTTGTGCGACTTAGTTCGCTGTGGCGACCCCTAAAGAAGGGAGAAGCCGAAAGAACAAGGGGAAAAAAATTACAGATACAGTGTAGGGAACGAATGAGTATGTAGAACAACGCTTACAAATGTGAACATTATAGACAACAGATAAGTTTTGCGATGGAGTTAAATTCAAAGCAGTCTGCTCCTTAAATAAATAATGTTTACTTATTCTATATATGAATGTTTCTGTTCAGTGCCCTGAGGTGACTTCTATTGTGACATAAATAAACTTAAATGAATTGAACAAATGCCAGTAGCGTTATTACTTACAGTATAAATGTTGAATGAGAATAATGTGTGTGTGTGTGTGTATATATATATATATATTATATACACAAATTTATTATAGCAGCAAATACGTACAGTGTGCGTATATACACACACACACGTGTGTGAGTGTATACACACGTTTCTAGAATTGCGCCGCTCAAGGTGGCTGCATGTTGGAGCAGCTCTGTTACTTTCATTCTGAGATTTTGCTTTTGGAAACTTTAATTCCTTTTTCTGGATGTAAATCACAGTTTTTGGATGACTGTTTCCTCTGGTATCAGATGCTGTGCAGCAGGAAGGATTTTTACTGAAAATTTTTTAGTTTTGGATATTTGTTATGATGCGTAACCACGGCAACAAGGCAGTTTTCTATAACCAACGGCAGCTGATTAACATCTCAAAAGCTCAAATAATATCTCAACTACAGCCCCAAATCTCAAATGAGTTGAAAAGGATGTTCTGTGGACACATTCTCATCTACCTGCCGGCTGTGCTCGAGTGCCTGGCCGCTGGGATCCTGAGGCTAGCGGGGGACACGGCTCATGACAACGGAAGGACAGGATCGTCCCTCAGCACCTACAGTTGGCTGTCCGCAGCGACGAGGAGCTCGGCAGACTGCTGGGAGGAGTTCTGCCCTGCATTTAGGCGGTCCTACAGCCTGGGGGAACTGAGAGGCCAGCCGAGTCTGGGTGGACGGATCTCCGGCCAGTTTCTTAGGATCCACTGTGGGATGGACCTTTACAAGAGATCCTTCCTGTCTACAGCATCAGCATCTCCTGTCTACAGCATCAGCATCTATAACATCTCTTAATGAAATGAGGATAACGAGTTACAGCAACAAATAATTTCCATCTGGAATTAATAAAGTATTTTTGAATTGAATGTATACACACGTATACACACACGTGTGCGAGTGTATACACACACACACGTGTGCGAGTGTATACACACACACTTGTGAGTGTATACACGCATACACATTTATATTAATATTACAACAAGTAGTTAAACTGATCACTGTTGTAGCACAAATAAAATTGTTTCTTCCTTTGAGCTTCGACGTACAGAGAGCAACAAACAAGGCCCATCTAAACAAACTGCACCCCGTTTGACACACCTCATATACTCACCTGGGACTATGCAGTGCCTCATTACACACACCACATTTTAATCAACGACTGCTTTTAATCGCGACAACTTTAGTTTGGTCGTAACTCTTACACATTGAAATGGAGAGTGGCTTAGCTTGCTAACAGCTTAGCTCAGGCTAACGAGCTCCATTCTTCACCGATGTTAGCTGTGGTAACAGACAAGCGTTGGATTAGAGGTCAACATTCACCACAGTAACCTTTTCATAACGAAACGGGATATTATGAAAGTAAATTGCTGTGAATTTGGAGCTGAATTTGGAGGCTTATCAGATGCTAAGTGCAGAGCTAAGCTAACACAACCTAGCGAACAAAGAGCTCAAATCAGGATGTATAGCTCATAGGTATGGCTAACACTTAGCTAGCCCTGCCGTGAGGTATCAGTCCGTTTTATTTCTGCTAAAGAAAATGCATTCACGTGTCGAGATGGAACCGACTCTCTCAGCTTTTTGTCTTTTTATAAGACACATCTCGTTTGGCTCGGTTCATACTGAAAACATTATCGCTGCTAGCTACAAACAAACGGGCCAGAGAAAAGGTTTTCAGACACAAACAGGCTTCACGCACAATAAACCCGCAGGATTTACATGCTGCTGCAGGAAAACAGGCTCACCATGCGAGCTGCCTCAGCCCAGGTCCGCTCCTTCTTTCTCTTTTGTTTGTCCTTCATCTCTTCTAGAGTTTACACACAAACCTGCTAACGACGGCGCTTCAGCTGCGGGAAATCAGCTTTAGCTGCTAAAAAAAATGGGTAACTGCGTTTTCAGTCGTCTCCGTGTGGGAAGAAGAAGGCGAGCCGAGGACAGCTATGCTCCTCCGGGTTGTCTCGGCTGACACACACAGTCCGATCTGAGGCTGAAGCTGCTGCAGGAAGCGCTCAGTCAGGAATGCAAGCGGCGGGTCAAAGGTCACAGCCTCCGCAGGAATGCAACACAGCAGCCCGCCCTTCCGCTGGCGGATAATCAGAGGGTCATTTATCAGCTGCTGCACACAAACATGATGAGCTGCAGGGCCCAGGACTGTTCACTGCAAAATATACACTAATCTCTATTTTTAAAATTAAATATAAAATATTACAATTTAACTGTTTAAAATATAGCCAAATGACAGCTATTGACGTGTATAAACTTTAAACCAAATGTATAAACCAGTCATGAGGGAGAACAAGCCAGTGTATCTCTTGTGCCAGTCCCAAACCCTGATAGTAAGGGTTGCAGTGTCAGGAAGGGCATTTGATGTGAAACGGTTTTGTCAAAACTATAATGCGAGTTCATCAACGCAACACAATACCGTACTGGTCAAGGCCCAGTTAACGTCACCGGTGCTGTTGACAAACAGGGTGCCAGAAGACCATGAGGAGGAAAACGTATCAGGAGACAGGGAGAAGAGGAAAGTCAAGAATGTAGGACTGAGGGTGGCAATTGTAAATGTGGGCACAATGACAGGCAAAGGTAGAGAGATGGCTGACATGATGCAGAGAAGGAAGGTAGATTTTTTTTTATGTGTCCAAGAGATCATGTGGAAGGGCAGAAAGGCTTGTAACATTGGAGCTGGGTTTAAACTGTTTTACCAAGTAGGATGTGATGTGGAAGAGAAAGATAAATTTTGGAAAGATCTGGATGAAGCGATAGAGGATTCCCAGTGAGGAGAGAGTGGTGATTGGAGCAGACCTGAATGGACATGATGGTGAAGGAAACAGAGGGAATGAGGAAGTGATGGGAGTTCAGAAAGAGCTGTGTAAGGCATTGGGTGGTAAGAAAGAGCTTCCAGATAACTGGACTACTACAGCAACAATAATTAGAGAGACAGGTAGGAAGGTACTTGGTGCATCATCTGGACAGAGAATGGATGATAAGGAAACATGGTAGTGGAATAATAAAGTGCAGGAAGCTGTCAAATAACGAAGTGCAGGATGTCGTTTAAAGAAAGAGGTTAGCCAAGAAGAAATATGACAGAGAGAGGACTGAAGAGAAGAGACAGAAATAAGGAGATAACGCTTTTCTCTAGTCAAGATACTCAAAGCACTTTACACTACAATCTGTGCCCTGATTTACCCATTCATACAGTACTCTACTATTTCTGTACAAAGAATGATCAGTGCTTTATCACATTCATACACCAATGGTACACACATCAGAGACAATGAGGGGCTCAGTGTCTTGCCCAGGGACACTTCAGCATGTGACTGTTGGTGGGATCAAACCCCCAACTCTTGCACTGGAGGATGACTGCTTTAACCACTCAGCCACAGCCGCCCCTAGGCATAGCGAAAGTTGTAGAAGCTAGACTTAGAAGAGAGGTGAGTATTTGTGAGCAGCAGTATGGTTTCATTAAGATCAAGGCTGATGTACGGAGTTGTAGCAACTACAGGGGAATTAAGATGATGAGACACACCACATATATCTGGAAGAGAGTTGTAGAATCTAGATGTAAACAGAAAGTGACCATTTATGAGCAGCAGTATGGTATAATGCCAAGAAAAAGCACCACAGAGGCTATATTTGCTTTGAGGATGCTGATAAAGAACAGAGAGAGTCATAAAGAAGTCCATTGTGTCATTGTCAATTTAGAAAAAGCATCTGACAGGTTGATATTAGACTGGTAGAGGACATGTATGAGGACAGTAAAACATGTTAGACTAGGGCAGAACATGTAAGAGGACTGCAGGGCATGTTAGGCTTGTACATGGCATTATGAGGAGAGCAGAGCACATTCAACTGGTACAGGTCATGCATGAGGACAACAGGGGACATTACACCAGTACATGATATGCATGAGGACAGTAGGATAGGTTAGACTGGTACAGGACATGTATGACGACAACAGGGCATGCAAGATTGGGAAAGGACATTCATGAGGACAGCAAGACATGTAAGGCTGGTAAAGGACATGCATACGGAAAGCCTCACTGGTAAATTTTCATCTTTCAATCACTTCTTGGTCTGTTGCCTTCATACATCTCCTCCTAAATGTCACTGTGTGAGTGCAGCTACAGCATGCACTTTCAGGACATTATTACATTCAGTGTTCCCTCAGTGTGGACTGCACTAGGCAAAAGGGCATTCTCCTACTCCACTCCTTTTTCCTGGAATATCTTGCAAAAGGATCTGAATATCTCAACCTTGACCTCTCCAAGTGGCTTAAAATATCTGCTAAGTTCCTGGCAAAACCCAGTGCAGACATGTTCCTGTTTTTAGTATTCTACGTTGCTTTACTAGCTGTTTTTGTTTTGTTTTATATACCATTTTATTTTATTTGTCCTTTTCAATTTGTATGCTTTTCATGATTGTCTATTGTTGGCTTTGTTGTGTCTACTGTTGTCATCATTCTTTTTTAAAATCAAGTTTCTCTTGTAAATGAGTTCACGAGACTCAATGGGATTATCCTGTATAAATAAAGGTTGAATGAATGAAAAATATATGTTAGACTGGTTTAGGACATGCATGAGGGCAGGATGGCATGTTAGACAGGTAAAGGACATGCATGAAGAGAGCAGGACATGTAAACCTGGTAAAGGACATACATAATGACAGCTGGTCATGTTGGACAGGTAATGGACATTCATGAGGACAGCAGTACATGTTATGGCCCTTTTCTATTAGTAACGATACAGCACAGTTTGACTCGACTCGGCACGGTTCCAAGGCTTTTTCCACTAGCAACGGTTTGTGAAACCGGTCCTTTTTTAGTACCCATTTCTCTGGGGTTCCAACCATGCCAAACAGGCCCTAAAACGTGATGTCAGAACTAGGGGTTGAACAAGTATGTAATTTTTAAACTCGACATTAACATAAAACCCGAGTAGAACCGAGTATTTGATGATGTCATAGATCTCAAGATACAAAAATAAATAAATAAAACCGCAAAAAAAGGTAATTATTTACAAAAAAAATACCAACAAAACATTGGGAGCGTATATTATGCTCCTACCATTTATCATACTGCAAATAAGTCGCAGGAAAAACTAAACTATTAGTTATTATTATTAAACTGCAAACATGAAGAAACATGCAGCACGTCAAAAACGAAACTTAAACCGAAACTGGTTCTGGTTCGGTGGATTGGACCCGGTGTTACACCATACTCTGTGACCTGCAACAGTGCAACACCGCCCCCTACGGTCATACGGTGGTCACATAATATGACGTCACTACGGATACCCGACCTTACATTTTTAACCTCGATAGATGTTCTAGCAATCGATGTGTAGATTACTCGAGTATTCTGTTAATGCCCTAGTCAGAACACTGTCCATCACTGATTGGTCTGGGGGGGGGTGGAGTCATTGGTTGTTTGAAAAACATATGGAATGACCACTGGTCTGGGTCTGGGTTCCTCCTTTTCACCTGATGGCTGGCTGGAGTCCTATTTGGGTTTCTTCTCTGCTTTCAGGAAGGCCCAGTTAGGATATCCACATTGCTCTAGAGCCTGTCTTGTGTGGGATTTCTCTTTCTGTCTGGCTTCTGAGTTAGTGGGGGCGCTGTCTGCTCTGTGGTAGAGTCTACAGGAACCACTTGCGATTCAACCTTAGATGCAGAAAAAGTGGCATCACTGAGCCTGGAACTGAAATCTTCTGTCAGCTGGCACCGGGCAAGCAAGATCCTTCAGAAGGCACAGACCCAGCTGCTGAATGGGTGAGACAGGCCAATTTTACCATTGAGGCTTTGAAGGCCAAAGAAGAGCACATTAAACAACAACTAACAACGTGCCTAGATCGGACCACACTTCATCAAGTGGTGGACTGCACAGATCAGGCATGCTTAGCACAGCATGTCAAGTCCAAAACTCGACAACAAAACAAGTTTAACTTACAGATAACTCATCAACACCATCACAATTCCAATAATAACACATTCAGTGGAAGACAACACTCCAGTAGACAGTTACATGCCAGGGAGACAGAAAAGTGGGTGAAGAATTTATCTGACAGACATCTCACCCAGCCGGAAACAGAGATTCTTGCTAGGGAACTGAACTTTGCAGTTGCACCAAGAAGAATTCCTCTGGTGGAGATGATCACAGCTACTGAGTCAGCCATCCAAAACAACAAAATTAAAGAGTATGAGGCAGAACAACTCAGAATCAAAGTTTCATCCTGCCTCAGCAATGCCAAACCACCACCTTCCAACATCAGTAGAGAGGAGAGGGATGCACTCCGCACTCTTAGCAAGGACAAAAACATCATCATTCTCCCAGCAGACAAAGGAAGGTGCACAGTGATTTTGAACCAGAAAGACTATCATGAGAAAGTTATGACACTCCTTAGTGACTTAACCACTTATGAACCTCTGAAAAGAGATCCAGGAAGTGGTTACAAGAAGAATTTGATAGATTGCCTGAAAATTTTGGAGCAGGACAAGGCTACTGACCATATTCTGTACCACAGGCTGTACCCAGGGGATGCCACACCTAGTCTGTATGATTTACCTAAACTCAACAAACAAGGTGTACCTTTAAGACCAATTGTTAGCATGATTAACTCTGTCACTTACAATGTTTCCAAATATCTGGCATCTGTACTCATCCCTTTAGTTGGCAGCTCAGAACACCACATACAGAACACCATGGACTTTGTGGATAAGGTGAGGGATGTCATCATGGAGACTGATGAAACAATGGTCTCTTTACGTGCATTCCTGTTGATGTTGCAGTAGAGGTGGTCAGTTTAATATTAAAATCAGACACCACTCTGAGCAGCAGAACCACGCTTTCCACAGAACAACTGTGTCAACTCTTGAAACTGTGCCTGCAGTCAACCTACTTCACATATGGGGAGCAATATTATAGGCAGAAACATGGGTGTGCTATGGGGTCTCCAGTTTCTCCTATTGTGGCCAACCTGTACATGGAGGAGGTAGAAAAGAGAGCCTTGACGTCCTTTTCAGGGACACCACCAA